AGTTTAGGGCGAGCCAAACATGGCTTCAAAGTGAAACAATTCTATGGCACATGGTAGATGTCATGGTTGGAGATGTTGGAGAAACCCCGGTTCAGAGCCTACGCGCGCCAAGCGGTTCGGCCTGGGAATATTCCCAATTTGGGCTGAGGGCTGCAACTCGCCCTTTATCCCCGAGCAAAGGCTAGCAACCCAAGCTGCTGTCAGTACAACTTGTATTCACGTGGAGGGTCCCTTCACAGGGCCACGGCTGTCGCAGCTGCCTAGTGGCAACCTCTGCGCCACGAAAAGCTCACATCTTGCAAACATTGCGCAGGTCAAAATGCAGACATCAGGTGAATGAATGCTCCCCGGCTGTGATGGCGGGCAGTAAGCCCAGCCCAGCTACCTGTTGCAAGGAACAGCACCGAAACGTGTGCTGCACTGGAAGTGAGATCGGATTTGTCTTTGACATGTCGTCAAGCTGACATGCACGGCCGTCTCAACTGAAAGTAGGCAACCATGTCAAACCTCGTGAAGTCATGCACTGTGGAGTCCCTCACCGTCTGCACGGACGTGTGCCTTCAAACAGCCTTGTCAAGTTGTTGGCGAGACCCCAAACTCATGCTCGCCTCCAGGTCGGTCACAGAGTCTACGCCAAAACGGTCCTTGGCAAGCGAGCCGCATGTGACTTCACCCTCGCTCGCCCCGTGCGTGTTACAAGTCATGGGCAAGAATTCGACTGGCCCGGCTGCAATATCACACTGGCAGGTTGTGTGCGTGTGGGTGTAAAAGAGTTGCGACTTTCCCTTGTTCACCCTCCTGCAAATCCGCCTGGTCACGGGCCTGATTGCCTCTTGCCTGCGCAAGCTGCCTGCTCTGAGAACATCAGTGTGATCGGTTGCAAAATCTCAAAATGCCAAGCTGCAGCAACCATCTGAAGTTGCACACCTCAGCCAGTAAATCAGCGTTTCGTGGAGCCTCATCCAGCATGTCATTTCCGCTGGATTTGGGTAGATTGCAACACAAATCACAAAGCAGGAGAAGTCAAAGTATCAAAATGAAGCATTCTCAATGCCAGGCACTCCCAAGCACTGGAAAGGTTTCCCTCCCGGACTTGCATGTTGAAACCAGCGCCTAAGCGGGCGCCAGTAAATTCAATAACTTGACCACTTCCTGAAGGCAACGTTCTGCATGTTTTACAAGCCAAAAAGCACGATCCCCAGACCGTCTCGGCAATAAGTTCAGCACGAGGCCGACTGGGCCCCAGCACCTGTATATACTTCCTTCCCTAGCGGCCCTAGCGGTTGATATAGTGAATGTGTTGCGTGTGCACGTGTGAGTGGATAAGTGGATAGCTGCGTGGGGTGACAGGCAGGCGGGCTCGTCGATGTGCGTGGGTTGGTGCGTGCGCGTGCGTGTCTGCGCAAACAGCGGGCGGGAGACTATGAGTGCTGCTGTTCTCCGGCTTATTTTGAGTTGAGCGTTTCGGGCGCTCCGTGCGAACGTGTGTCCATGATCAAATGAGATGAACAGTACTGATCCGAGTTCGCTTCTGAACGTCAAGCTGAAACAACCTCCCCCCACAAAGAAGAGAACATGAAAAAGGATAGGCTTGGGCATACGGTGTCCGGATCAATGTATCATGGCTCAATGCACATGCAAAGGAGCCTGTGCTCACAAAACTGTGGAACCTCTAGGGCAGCTTGCTATGACTGGCATGACTGGCCATATACCGCCCACAAATCCTCTCGGAGTATGACTCTTGATGCTGAGGTTCTTAACCGGGTCAACCTAACCTCGCAGTTCCGTGGCAAGGGGACCAAAGGCACCCGGCAACAAATACACAAGAAAGCACCTGTAGCCTGCAGCCAGCTTTTCTGCCAGAGCAAAGCAACAGTCCACCATCAGGACATGGTGCCTAAATGGGTGGCTTACTGTTGCTTTTCCTTTAGTACAGCCCCACAGGGTACCCAAAACGTTGCCCCGCCCGCCCATATAACATGGCTTTCAATTTGTGCATGTGTGCGTGTGCGTCTCCAAACCGTGGAATGACTGGGCGCCGATGAAAATGGAGTTGCTCACGAGGAAGGCAGCACACACGGCCTCGAATCGCGGGGACTCCACCATGCGGAGCCTGGGCTCATCCAGGATGGGTGTGTGTCAAAATAGGGGGCCATGCGGAGCCTGGGCTCATCCAGGATGGGTGTGTGTCAAAATAGGGGGCCCAAGATCTGGTTGGAGACGGTTGGTTGTCGCTTTGGCGACCTTCAAACCAAATGACCCCCAAACACATCGTCTAACCGTCCTTGATTAAATGCAACAACACTGAGCTCATCGCAGCGGAAATCTGCCTGCAACCGTTTCTGATGTTGAGCTTTGATTCCAATTGCGATCAATACAAATACGTCAACATCAGGCAACTCCCAGTGTTCATGAAGTCATGTCCAAGCAAGCCATCAGTGTGGAAGACGTGATTTGCAAAAATGCATACTCAAGTTTCAAAGGAATTTTAGGAGGTGAGATATGAGCAGTATGTAGAATGTTAATATGGAATGGACTCTTCTGCGAGAAGAAGACGACGCATTGAAGATATATTTTGCAAGTTGCTATTACGTACCATTGGGAATAAATGAGATGTGGGTATGCAAGCAACACTGCTCCGGGTTCCATAGGTTGCTGAATGCTGTCTTAGAAGCGTACCGAGAGGGATTCTTCAAGTTGTCCTTCTTGGAACATATTTTGAATTCGGCAAGGGAGTGGCTCAAGACCGAGTTGCAAACATCAGGTGCAAATGGTGAAGCAACACCCCTGGATCCGTTGAAAACCCACATCAATTTGCCGTCGCACGTCCCCAGCTAGGCTCCAGCCAGTCATCCGCTCCATGGTGCCAGTGATCGTCAGGGACAGCGCAGTATGCCAAAGGACGCACAGGGTTCTGGCCCACGTTTTGGGGGCGCTGGCGTGGGACCGTCCGCCAGTAGATTGGTTCCCCGGGCTGACCTTTTTGTTACGTAAGGCCATTTGTGTCGCATGACCTTTTTCGTCAACGGCCAGGTGCTCTGTCTGGATATGCTCACCCCAGTGGATGATGGACAGTGAAACAACTTTTCAGATAGTGTGTAAGTCAACGACCCAAGCACCCCAGTCACGCCCAGTGCAGCCACCGGCACAGCCTTGGGCAGTGCCCCCGATGCAACTCCTCTGCGACATTGGCCTGCGAACGAAAAACATAAGCGCAAACAAGCCAAGCCAAGCCGTAGGGTGGACGTCAAAACTGTTCACCCTTATCGAAAGTGTGGACCCTGTTGATTGGGTAGCGTTCCCACTGAGAAGCACCCTGTCGAACGACTAATTCTTCAATTCCAAGGAGGCCGTGCGGTCACAGAAGTGGGACAAATCCACTGATTTCCCGCAGCCCTGAACCTCACTGCGGCACTTCTCGCCTGCGTGCTCTGGGCACGAGCCCACTCGCGGCGCATCTCCGATTTGGCCAGGGCCACCTTCTCGTGCTCCTCCTTGGCATGACCGAGCCGCCCGGCCGTGCGATCAGCTGAGACCGAGCTTACAAACAATACAGAAGGGCTTAGAACTTGGGGCGCCGCTATGTCCGGCCGGTGAGAGTTTGTACGGCGACAGTGTGCGTTGATCAGCGGTCAACAGCATGTTGTTGTCCACTGTTTCGGGCGCTTCGTTTTCGCCTCACCCGCTAGGAACTGTTTGCTAGCCAGGGTTGGGCTCGCTTGGGCCTTGGGCGTGTCGTGGCGGGCTTGAGAAGTCGTCAGCACAAACAACTGCTTCATGTCTACTGAGCTGGGGGGGATCGTTCGAAGTAATGCATCTTTTGTTTGCCCGCCAAAGGCTAGCCCCGCGCACGGAAGAACCATGATGATGCGAATGGGGCCTCATCCCTCGCAAAAAAAAAAAAAAAAAACAACGCAACAGCCAAACAAACAGCACTGCCAATGACCTCTGGTGGACAATGGCTGCAACAAATACACAATGGCAAACATCATGCGCTCAGTTGGGGCAGGTCTCATCATCAACGATCCTCCCACAGCGCTGCAGCGCCATGGGCCTGTCCGTTGCTTCGGCTGGTGGCGAAGGCACCAGAAAGTGCTTGATAACAGGCACTCGATTCAAAACGCATCGACTCAGGGCTCAAACCCACCAACTCTTCTGCATCTAGAATTGCCTCGAATGCAAACGTAAATGCGAAGGACCATTCGAACAAGGCTAATCAGGGGGTTCCGCCTTTGGCGGGGAATTGGCTGGCGATAAGGGAATTCCTCAGATTCATTCCGTGGAACGACCCTGCCCGAGTTGGTGGGCAGTTTCGCAATTTGTCATTGGGCTTCATCTATTTCAACTGCTGCAGGAGTTGTCTCTCCAACTGTGTCAGAAATCAAGCTGGTTCCGTTGCTTCGGCTGGTGGCGAAGGCACCAGAAAGTGCTTGATAACAGGCACTCGATTCAAAACGCATCGACTCAGGGCTCAAACCCACCAACTCTGCTGCATCTAGAATTGCCTCGAATGCAAACGTAAATGCGAAGGACTATTCGAACAAGGCTAATCAGGGGGTTCCGCCTTTGGCGGGGAATTGGCTGGCGATAAGGGAATTCCTCAGATTCATTCCGTGGAACGACATCCTGCCCGAGTTGGTGGGCGGTTTCGCAATTTGTCATTGGGCTTCATCTATTTCAACTGCTGCAGGAGTTGTCTCTCCAACTGTGTCAGAAATCAAGCTGGTCCCTCGCGCCTGTTCGCTTCTAGCGCGAGTGGCCTGCCATGGACCCCTGCTCCCTCTCACAACCTTTTTCGCAGAGAAACGCTAGCATTTGCGCCCGCAGGGAACAGCGCATTTTGTTCCAACAAGCAAGTAAGGCACACAACAGGACAAGACTGGACTTGCATGGTTAGAACGCGCAGTCGGGAGTAGACTTCTGAGGCTATATTAACAATGGGGGGAAATGGCAAGTGCACAGCAGCCTCGACACCCTCATGAACATACAAGTGACGCACAAGTAATAGAAACGATTGCAATTCAGGTCAGCTATCAAATCAGCTTCGTGGAGGTTCATTTTCCGATGATGATGGAAAAATGGCAGTAGCGACGAGATTGTAGCCACCAACGGTGACCATGGCCAGCGTGTCCAACCACCTGCCTGTCCGGTTCCATCTTGTTGGCCGTGAGCATGTCAAGCCGAGTTTCCTAGAGTGCATCACGCTTTGTGCTGAAGGGCGGTCGCTGAAAGCTGAATGCAACTTGTGTGTGTGTGTGTGCGTGTGTGTGTGTGTGTGTGTGCGCGCGTGTGTGTGTGTGTGTGTGTGTGTGTGTGTGTGTGTGTGTGTGTGTGTGTGTGTGTGTGTGTGTGTGTGTGTGTGTGTGTGTGTGTGTGTGTGTGTGTGTGTGTGTGTGTGTGTGTGTGTGTGTGTGTGTGTGTGTGTGTGTGTGTGTGTGTGTGTGTGTGTGTGTGTGTGTGTGTGTGTGTGTGTGTGTGTGTGTGTGTGTGTGTGTGTGTGTGTGTGTGTGTGTGTGTGTGTGTGTGTGTGTGTGTGTGTGTGTGTGTGTGTGTGTGTGTGCGTGCGTGCGTGCGTGCGTGCGTGCGTGCGTGCGTGCGTGCGTGCGTGCGTGCGTGCGTGCGTGCGTGCGTGCGTGCGTGCGTGCGTGCGTGCGTGCGTGCGTGCGTGCGTGCGTGCGTGCGTGCGTGCGTGCGTGCGTGCGTGTGTGCGTGTGTGTGTGTGCGCGTGTGTGTGTGTGTGTGTGCGTCTGTGTGGTGTCTGTGTGGCATCTGTGATGTGATGTGATGTGATATGACATGATATGATATATATATATATGTGTCTGTGTGTCTGTGCGTCTGTGCGTCTGTGTGTCTGTGTGTCCGTGTGTCTGTGTGTTTGTGTGTCTGTGTGTCTGTGTGTGTGTGTCTGTGTGTCTGCGTGTCTGTGTGTCTGTGTGCCTGTGTGTCTGTGTGTCTTCGTGTATGTGTGTCTGTGTATGTGTCTGTGAGTTTGTGCGTGTGTTTGTGTGGGTGCGTGCGTGCGTGCTACGTGCATGCTTGCGTGCGTGGGGGTGCGGTGTGCGGGAGCGTGTGGGCAGGTGAGTGCGTGCGGGTGCGTGCGTGAGGGTGTGTGCGCTGTGCGCGCGTGCGTGCGCGTGCGTGTGGGCAGGCTGGCGGGGGTGTGGTTGTGGGTGCAATTATTCAGATCATTTGTGAGTTAGTTCATTCATTCACTTCATTTCGTCCACTCCCTTCGATTCAATAATTCATTAATTCATATCCAATCATTCATTCCATTCATCCTCCATTCATTTCATTCCTTCCATTCCTTCCACTTACATTCTTTCCGTTCCGTCCATTCCTTCAATTCCTTCCATTCATTCCATTCATTCCATTAATTCCATTCACTCAATCCATTCCATCATTCCACTCCATTCCAGTCCAGTCCATTTCAGTATTTCCATTCATTAAGTCCATTCATTCCATGCGTTCCATTCATTTCTTTCAGTCTATTCATTGCATCAAATCACTCAATCAATCATTTATTCCTTCCTTCCTTCCTTCCTTCCTTCCTTCCATCCGTCCATGCATGCATGCATGCATGCATGCATGCATTAATTTTTGTCATGTCATGTCATGCCATGTCATGGCATTCATTCATTCCTTCCTTCCATTCAATCAATCATTCATTCATTCATTGAGTCATTATTCCTTCCTTCCTTCCTTCCTTCCTTCCTTCCTTCCTTCCTTCCTTCCTTCCCCTTCCTCATTCAGTCATTCCTTCCTTTCATGTATTCATGCATGTCTTCCTTCCTTTCTCCGATAGTTGAAAATTGAAATCCACGTTGTTCAGTCCTTTCATTTCACAGCATGAATTTCCATGCCGTTTACTGTCACGCCATGTGATTCATGTGCTGTCATATCAAATTCATGTCATTAATTTGTTTGTTTCCTTGGTTCGTTCGTGGGACTTCATTCCACTCCATGCCATTCCATTCAATTTCATTCACATCAATTTGTTTCGTTTCATCTCATTTCGTCTGTGGCATTCCACTTCATTATTCCTTCGTTCTTTCTTCATGTGTTGAATGGTATTGCTCCATCCATCCATCCATCCATCCATGCATGCATGCATCCATACATCCTGCCATCCCTGGATCCATCCAGGCATCTATCCAGCCATCCATGCATCCATCAGTCAGTCCCTCCCTCCCTCCAAAAGTGTTGGGTGTTTGTTTCTTTGCCCATTCAATCAAAGATAAGCAAACCTATTGTGTGCATTTATCATGCTGCACTCCCGTTTAAACTTGCATACCCTCCAAACACGCGTACACCAATCATGCATTCAAACTCATGTCTGTTGCTTCTCCTCATGCATGCACAAAACACACTTATCAACAGGGTTGTCTAGATCCACAAGGAAACTCACAGTAGACTGACCGTTTATGCCAACCCAGAATCATAGGCCCTGATGACTTCCTTTCCGAGGTGCGGCGGGGTACGCCTCCTGCAACCACCTGTCCAGGCGCTCAAAGAGCTGCTCATGGCGGCGCTCCATGATCTCCTCCATGTGCCTGGGAACCGAAGGGGACGTCTTACCATCACCACCATCCTGGAAAGACCGTCAAAAAGGTAGCCCCTTCAGTCTCTGGTGGTGACAACACAGTTGGCAGGACGAAACCAAAGCCACCAGGATATGGCTTCCAACGAAACCTGCCAACGGGTTCTGACAGAGAGTTCCTAGAAACTTCTTGGGGGCGTCCTAACGTCTTCGGCAGAGCTCTCCTCAAAGGAAAAAGACGTAGTAAGGGGTTATTCACCCCCATCCAAATGACATCTAGTTTCTTGAGCTCCGAATCTCCTCTCAGCATATTCCCGTGCCCAACTTCTTTGAGGCTGGTATGCATCGCCAGCCCATGTTTGATCGCGATAAATAACCCATCTGACTGTACTTGGACTCCAAATCCAGCGGAGCACGTGCGCCGCAAAGGCCGTTGAATTGTTGAGCATTGGTGTTGAGGGCTATGTCGCAGCACCAAACGCTGAAAAGAAAAGACCCTTCGGGTTCTGATGGCTCAACTGAGGCCATGTTCCTAGGTCAAGTGAGCTGGGCAAAAGCATCCGTTTGCCAAACTGCATTTGCGACCTTCTGGCCCTTGACGAGACAGGGACGGAAGCCCTGACCAGCATCAGCATCATGGCCAATATTGCCAATAGGTAATAAATGGCTTGCTGAGCCAATCATGAAGAGCGCAACAAAGACCACATGCCGCCGAGTTGGCTATCAGGGCAAGGCTACAGGTCCCCGTGGAATTTCCTTCCATGGCCTGGGTTTGCCTCAAAATTGAACAGAAGGGATACCCCCAAAGCATGACACCCCCCCTGCCTGCACCACGGTCGCATGACAGACTGTATAGCTTCCTGCGCCACTTGACACGGACGGACGCCGGCAACACACAGCAAGACAGACAAGACATGGCAAAGCTCAGGGTTGACTTGTTTTGGAGCAAGAGGGGTCGGTTTACCCCGAAAATACTCTGGACGTCCGTTGGGGGTCGTGGAGGTCGACCCCGCTCATCTTTCGACCGTTTCAACCGGCCAATGGGAAATAGGCAACACCAAAGCACAAGAGGTTGTGCTGAATTGAATTTCTGATGGCAGCTGACAGTGTGGCGTCCGACAAAATGTGGCTCCTCCGAGTCGCATTTCTGAAAGCCCTTGGGGCTGCTGGGCCTGAAGAGGCGTGCAGGCGGCAAGGGAACAATCCTTCTTCTTAGATACACTGGGAGCGCCCAATGTTGCCTTGTTCGCTATGATTGCAATATGGTGGCTTCAACAAAAATGGCATGATGTATTCTGTCCACAAGTCCCTCCCCTGACGACATGCCCTCACAATCTGACAATAAGGATGGCGGCTGATACAGGATGCTTCATTGCCTGCTGCACACCGAGACTAGCAATGTCAACCCCTTTTAGTAGGCAACTTCTTGTGTTACGCGGATTCCTCGGATTAGCATGGTCCTCCGGATTTATACTAAGTTAGCACTACCCTTCGGATTAACATGCAAGCCAAGAGGGTGGGGCAAAAAGGAGATTTCCCTACAATTGCCGGGATCCATGTCAATCCGCAGGGCGGGCGTGTGGTTATCCAAACTTGTGGGATAGCTGTCCCCTCTCAGAGAAGCGCCACACGCTGCCGCGTGATTGTGGCAGCGCCTGCGATCCGCGAAGCGCGGGATCAAAACGAGCTAATGGCATCTGAGCACATGCCAAGTGCATGTAGAATGACAAGGTGCGCCTTTGCTGAATACACTCTGGCTTTGATTAAGGTGCTCCGATTTCGAGACAGTGGCATCTCGGATTGCCAATATGTAAAACAATAATGCATGCGACCCGTCCTTGAGGGTAGTAGCTCTTCCAGCCGGCATGAGGCCCAGAACTAACGCATAGCCCAAAGATGCCTGCACCGTATTGTTTTCGACTCCCAAAAGTCACTCGGATCACCTGCAGCATCACTCATCACTGGGTGTTGCCTCGTCCCGATTGTGGATTGCTGCTTCGGCGGTTGCGCCTTTGCTGAAAGCTTGTGCGGACCTTTCCTTTGACATCGGCCAGCCAAACATGCTGCTCTCAAAATGCAAAAATGCCCCCCAAAAAAACCATAAACATGCCCCACAAAACGCATGGCACATATTTTCATAGGAGTCTGAAACCGAAGGATTCGAGATGGGATTCGTGTCCTGTGTCATGCGGATTGCCAGACGCTTGCGAGACCCGAGAGCCAGGATCGGCGCGGTCAATGGAGGGCGCTCAGCTCCGTCAGTTGACCCGTCAGAGCCCTTCCGTGCCACGAATCCCCCCGAAAATGAGCCAAGGGCCGGCCTCAAAGGTCGGACCATCTAGTGGATGCCAAAATCCATCGCCAGCCACACTGCTTCAACTTGCTTGGAGCTTGGAGCTTGGCCAACAAGCTGGGAGGCAGCTCAGGAATTGACACGCAATCTGGAAGCAGCTACGTAATTGACCGGCCATGTCCAGCCATCTGCCCGCTCGCAGTTGACTTTGCTTTTAAACACGTCCAGACGACGCCCGGGAAACGTTTTACATTTAAAAAGAAGGCCGGGGCCAGTTGCATCTCAGGCACGCCCTTGAGATGATCATCCTGAGCAGCAGGGGATCCCATCATTTCTAAACAGCACATCAGTCCGCAGAGCTATTTGATGGGGTTAGCGCAAATACCACGTTGTTGCCATATCAAAAAGCCGAGGCAAGAATTACCTGTTTGAGCCTTGAGGTCGTACCTTGTCCAGAATAACAAAGTCGTCCACTGCCATGAGGAGCTTGTCACTTCACACACCTCCATAACACAAAATGAGGCCCCGAAAAGGCGTCTGTTAAGCCAACCCCTGCCAAATCACCCGCTAAGAATCGCCGATCAAATGCGGGTAGTTCCGCGCCAAAGGATTCACCTCCCCGTACTGGTCAATCTCAGAGCTCCTAGGCACATGAGGAAAAAACAAAAGGAAGAAAAACAAACTGGCTTTGACGCAGCGCCTCAGAATGACAAGCAACTCCGTGTTCAGCCAGCTGTTTGGGAATACCCGACAAATCAGAAAAACAGGGCAGAACTCTCAAATCTTAGCCTAGCGTTTGCCTCATATCCAAATGGTACGGAAAACGCTTTGCTCCTCCCAGCAACCGCAACTGAGTTCGCGCATGATGTTTTTACTATGGAATTGCTGAAAGTTATAGCCTACTTGTTGGGTTTAGCTTGCAGCTTTTGCAGGCCAACCCTTGAACTTACCCCCTTTGCCAAGGTGTGCAGCATCATGTGCCAACAAAGCTTGATGGCAAATGATGCCAAACTCACGCAGGCAATCCATGAAACTTTGGGGCCCCGCCTCGAGGCAGCAGGAACAAACCCAACATGGGATCACGCCAAGGCATGGCACGCCAACGGGCCGCAGAAGCAACGCCCCTGACTTCTCTCCGTTTCTCTCAAACGGCAAAAGAACGCAAACACAAGAGTACCCTCTACCATGCCAAGCTTCACATCAATCAGCGAGCACTTGCTGCCACTGGGGCCTCAAGCGGTTTAATGTCTCTGTATGTCTACTGCTGTCTGACTGCAACTGATTCTTCAGGCAGGTTCGCATCCAGGGAAGCACTGCAACGATGGATTCCTGGTACGTTGTGTTGCAATGGACCATTTGCATGCCAGCAGATTAGCCGAGCCATACGGCAATATCTAAAAAAGAAAGCTACCTTCTGCCGGTCAACGGCATACTAACTGAATTCGAGCAGTCACCGAGGCTCCGTGCAGTAGCTGTCCCCGCTGCATTCCAGTCCGCAAAATCTCCTTTGCCTTGGTTCATTAATTGGGGACGGGGTTCACCTTTGCCCAAGAAGCACTCTATCAACTCCCATTTCAGAAAGGATGGATAGCAGCAACCCAAAACATATGGCGTTGACCAACTCGACAATCTCGCATTTTCAAGCTTTGTGGCGCTGCCTGCAACACACATTGTCATTGAATGGTAAGCGTGACAGGGAATGCTATAATGGAGGCAACTCTAATTGTTCCGGATTTTGTAAAAGCAGTACATGAGAGGCAAGATGTGTTGTTTAGTAGAGAATATGTAGTGCCTTGATCCAATTGTTAACATCCATTTCAGAAGCTGTAATCAACTCTATATAGATTTTAAACAATGAGGCGCAACTTGCAACACAAATTGTCATTGAATGATAAGCGTGGGCAGCGAATCTGGAGTGAAATGCCAGTATGCCTCTGTGGCTGTGTCCGTGCCACTAGTGCAGCGAAATATGAATGTATGATGTGTAACTGTATATATGGTACCCCCCCCCCGCCTGGGCCCTGGTTGGCGCGTTCGACCTGTATGTTTCCAGTGTTTCATGCCTTGTGTTGCTTCTTGGATTTTGAGCCAAAATTAGGGGGTGCCATAATATATATATATATATGATATGCATGCATGCATACATATGTGATAAAAGCAAAGACATCAGCATATGCAATCTGAAATACGTTGAATGCATCCAAGAGTATTAGAACAACTCAGGAACCTAAAAACAAATCAGGATTCAAGATTCAAGAATCTGAGAAAAACATGTTCTGGAATCTTGATTCTTGAGTCCCAAAATGTTTGTCTTGCTGTTTTCGATTCAAGACTCACGAATCTGAGACTTTTGCTGGCAATTTTGAATCTCAATCGTGTTTGTTTCTTTTTGAAATTCCAGGTTTGTCCCAACACTCTCGGCGTTCAATAAGATTCTCCGAAAAGCTTTCTGTGAAATATGTCAATCTTGAATCTTCAATCTAGTGGTAAGATACGTTCGAGGTTGTAGAACAACTTGAACATATTTAGGGGTTGACCAGGATGGATGATTCTCAGGAAAGTTGTTGTTTGTGCAATCCTCAATATTGAATCCTCAATGCAGTAGTAAAGCACGTTCAAGTGTTAGAAGAAGGTGAATGTGGTTTGGGTTTGGCCAGGATTGACAATTCTCAGGCAATTTTTCTGTGTCGTCTTCAATGTTGAATCTTCCATCCAGTGGTAAAATACTTCAAGCGCTTAGCGATCCAGTGAAACACTTTACATATGGATGTATGTTCACACACCGTCACCTGCCCTCTTGAACTATCTGTCCACATTTGCTCATCTACTGCCTCCAGCTTTTGAGATAGAATATTTTTGTGCCCCTGTGCAAACAGAACTTTAAATACAACTGATTTAGCTAGAATCCCTGTTTCGATATAGTTCTAGAATTTGAACCTCTATTCGTTTGAAATTTCCTTCTGGAACACCGTCTGACAATTTATTTTCGGACCTTTATTATGCTACAAAAGGGTCAGAATGTATATAACACAAATCGTATGTTGAATTTCCTTGTAGACGCCCCTTAAATGTTTAGCCATATTTCATATGAAATATATTTGAGAAGTAGTCTCTATTTAATTGATATTGTCAAAAGCTACGTGACTTGTGTTCGTAATAGACAAAATTTGACACTCAGAGTTTGTTTGGGAATAAACTCCTGTCTAACTTATTTTGTTATTTTATTGGAGTTTACCCGAAACTATATTTACATTTTCATGTAGCTCCTATTTGGACAGGGTTTGCTAAATTATATTATAACTCCAATTCCAGTTGACTCCGGGCTCCAAATCATGAGGTTTTGGGGACCCCTAATTGGAAACTTCGAGAAATCAAATCTCGAGATTCTAGATTTATCATCCCCAAAAGTCAGCAAAACCAGGGTCCACGGTGGGGGGGGGGGTTGCACATCTAAAAATATATTTCATCAGGCTTCTGCAACCAAATTCAAATCTTCAAGCCAATCATCTGGTAAGACCACCCAACTCAATTCTGTACCTCACAGCAGCTTCCACAGAATCCGACCACAAGACGAAAACACCGGGAATTATCCGCACGCAAACGCTTTACCTGCCTGAGAACTCGGACATTCTCGCAAAGCGCCTCTTCTTGCCATGGGTCTCATGCACTCTCCCACCCAAGGGTTGGCCCTGTAGCATCATCATCTGCAGCAAAGGAAAGTCTTCGCTTAGTTATGGCAAGCTCTTAGAGCTCGGGACCTCATGGACGCAGTGCGACGATTGCGCACTCCAGCACGCAAGTGCCCCGCGGCCCGAAGGCCCTGTAACATGATCAAACTTCGACATGTCATCAACATGGGGCCTTGTTTCTACGGCCCGTGCTCATAGCACACAACTTCCCATGCATCCGAGGTGCATGTCCGGATGGCTGGTGTCTCCCAGTGGGACAGGCACCAACATGCACTTGGGCTTGCTGAAGGAGTCCTGATGGCTCTGGAGCTTGATGGGGGGGAGCCCAAAGCTAAAGGTACAAGTCTATGAAATGACATAACATGGTATAAATACAGGGCTGTCATGTTTGGGTCTAGCGTCAAGCCGCCTGTACCGCTGGAACAAACCCCACGACAGTTGCTGAATGTCAGGGCCAGTAATATTTCCAAGCTGCGAGCTTGTTACTGAGGCCGCAAACCCGGTGGAAAATACAACCTGAAGGCCACCCACACTTCTTGGCAGACGGTCACCGCTGTTTGTTTTTCTGTTCCAGTCGGTGTCCTTCGGCTTTTCACCCGGGCAGGCAGCGTCCATGCAATCTGCAAGCGCACGCGTTGAAGGTCTGGGGTGGGGCGGGCCAACCTCCCTGCAATCGATGTGGCTGACAATGGCTGGCAAAAGTCCTTGAATTCCCAAAGAGTGCACTTCATTGGGTGGCATCAATTGCAATTTGAACCATAGCTTAGCCGGCATGCTTTCTTGCTCTGGACGGCTAGCACGTCGGTTCCGCGGAAGGACTGGAAGGACACAGTCATGCATGAAAACTTGTTTTCGTGATTTGCCGATTTGTGTTGAAGCATCGGTCACCCGCACTGGTAGTGTTGATGAGCTTCCCTTCTTGCAGCCCCACTTGCACAAGACCCGTATGCATTTTCCCAAAACTCTGCCTGGAGCAACCGCAAATCACATCGGGGCCATCCCACCACGACCTCCCACCCTAGCATCTCCCCCCCCCCCCCCGAGCACCTGCCCCCCCCCCCCCAGCGTAGCTACTGCTTCGCATTCGGGGCATGCATGAACTCAGGTCGCTTGATAGCACTAGCATGCTGCCCAAGTCAAAACCCAGAACCCACGCGCTCGCAAATGCACTTGAATAAGCAACTGCAGCTCGTGGGCTTAGGTTGAAGCTCTCAGTTGAGAGCCCTGGGAGGTAGGGATGCCCGAGACGAAGGCATGGTCTTGTGGTCTTTGAGTTTGCACTGCCATCGGCATATCGACATGGCACACTTGGCCAAGAAGCCGCTCACGCAAAGCTGCCGGCCCCGGAAGGTGGCCAGTTTCCTCAAGTTCGCAAGCGCAAGTGCTTGTAACCAACCTGAATTAAGGGATTCATTGTCGATGTATTCAGACAAGCGAACACATCCGCCCAGTATTTACCACTGAACAAACTGACCTGAACTCAGGAATCCGGAGGTAAGAGCAATGAATGCATCATGGGTGAGCTCGTTTTAACCGCAGGTGAGCCTGCTACAAGTAACAAAGGCATCAACGACAAGACCTAGCCCCATACTATTGTCGCACCGATCGATTTGGTCACAACGTGTCCACACAGGTTTGGCACACTTGAATACGAGGATGGTTTCCCCTGTCCCCTCCCAACCATGGAGCAGCAACCAATTGATGTATGCAACTCGCCAGTTGCGCGGCTTTGAGCTAAAACCTGCCGCCTCTCGCATCACATCAAAAACTGTCCGTTCTCGAGCCCTGCTGGCAGGACTCTCTTCTAGCTCGCACGGCGGCTTGCCGTATCTTGCAGCAACCGGCACCAGCAGGACCAGCCTCGAAGCGAGATGAAGTCAATTGGCCTTGGCCTGGCCTTGGCTCATGGCCCAACTTCGAGGAGTTTACAATCAGTACCAAATAGACACGAGTTGCGAAAATCAAACCGTGTCCTGGCCCCTGGTAGTTTGTGATGCATGCAGGATTACCATAGCCACCTTCCTAGGTTTGACACTTCTTCGTCCAAGACATGCTCCATCGAGAAAAAATACAACATGCCGAGCGAACCGCACAAGTTGGCTGCAAATCATCACAGCAGGGGCTGGGATGGGCATGCTTGCAGCCTGCTGCGACCAGCAAGCAGCACTTGCCTACAGCACACCGCAATAACATGCAATAACCCTGTGAGGCCTCCAAAGGCATCCCGCAGCAACCATGGCTGCGTTCCATGCAATATGGGGCGCGCAAAGTGTTTTGTCAGTTTCCAGCGTGGAGTGACTTGCAGCTGTACTTGTTGAGGCAGCCTGCATGGACCCTAGTTTTATGCAAATTCCTACTGATGCATATGTCACTCCTAGTGGGCTTCAAACTCCACAACTTGCCATCGGGCTAGCGCGAAATGGCAGCTTCACGCACTCGCAAATCACCAAGCGTAACGGACTTCCTCCCTTAACCGCAAAAAGCTGGGGCATGGGTCATAGAGTGCTGCTGTTTTGCTCGTCGCAACATTGGAGCACTTGGTCTACCGATATCTTGCACGCTGCATCATACGAATCCTCGTGCTTGTGATCACATTCCTAGCTGGACAAAAGGCAATGCCACAAATTACCAGGCCCATCACTGACTGACCTAGCATTCAGCAATTGCGTTTCTGGAATGTCCCAAGCATCCATGCTGCTGCCCTGCGAGTGCCAGCATGTTTCCGTCTTGCATTTGCAAGTGGAATGTCACCGAGGAACTTTGGGAGAAAGCAAGTCAATACTGTCCAAACAAACAAGCAAGCCAGTCATTTCGAACAGATTGCAGCAAATTTGGATCGATGAAGTTGTGCTGGAACGACCTGGCAAACAAAGGCCAGACTCCGGCAATATTTACAAACCATGCACTCAAAGGCTTGTTTAGTTCGCATTAGTTGCTTGCCTAGGTACATGTTCAGCCTGGGCATTTCTGTCAGGCGTGAGAGATGTGCATGCGGAAAGGCCTGCTTATGGATCTGGAAGCAAGTGGGCACCACGCAGCATGCTTGTAGCGAGCCACCGCAGCCCACGCAGCGGGACTATGCAACTTAGCCCTAGCTCTAAATCTGTGTCAACCTGGCATGTGCCCCAAGGGCAGACTGATAGTGGATCAAATAACTTTACCAACATCCCGAAGCACTGGCGAACTAAAGCAGTGTCGCCCTCAGTTGAACCCCACCACTTTGCCACTCTGGGACGCCCAACGCACTCCAGGGTGATCTCCACCTTGGAATCTGCACGCAGAAAGGTGGTGGGACTGTGCGACTTGAGCCCTGATCACCGTTTCTGCCTTGGAAACTTCGATACGCTGAAATTCATTAGTTGCCCGCGTTTGTCAATGATCCTTCTTGTGACGCGGTTTCCTATATCCTCCCATAAACATCACCCCAAAGCAAGAGACTCAAGCGGCATTGACCCAAAACAAGAAGGGAGCAAAAAGTAAGGCTGCGGAAATCGACAAGAGCCTTTCCGAAGCCAAGAGCCACGGAATGCATTTTGGGGGTTAAGCCCATGGGCCACAAACCAATCTGCCCATTTCAGCTCAGGGCAAAAGTGTGGTCGACACCTCCCATGGGCAATCTGAGCTGGTCCTCTGAATCATTCGAGGGGTGTCCAGCAATCCACTCCAAAAACTGCAGCCAAACCATGGGGAGCTACATGCTGCTGCTAAACTGGCTCCACTTGGTATATGACTGGCATCGAAATTGAACCATTGGCATCTAATACTTAGTGTCAACCGAACTCACCCCAAAAAAGTGTTGGCTCCAGCAAGGGTGATTCGTTCCCTAGCCCCCCTTCCACCCCCACCCTCGCCCCAAACTTTTGCTCCCTCAGCTAAAGTCAATGACTTGGCCCCGGTGTTCGAGGCCATCGGGATGTCTTGCACCAGGGAAGTGCGAGAATGCAATGCCTCAACTTCCAACCTGTTTGACCATGTCAAGTGAGCCAAGCCCGTGCAAGCTGCTTCGCGGGTCCTAATCACCGTCCCAAGCCAACGCCCGGCTACGGCGCCCTTGCGTCGCGAGTCCCTTAGGGAGCATCGCTGCGCTTCACTCGCGAGAAGCAGCTGGCTGGCAAGACTTTGCCTTAGGTTCAGATGCATCGTGCAGCAGGTTGCCCATGAAATACGCGTTTCTTGTAAAACCGATGCACCTCAGTTTCGACACTGCGGCCTTTTTGAGGCTCGAAAATGCAATGCCTTGGCAGCTCCGCGTGTTTTCTTTTGGTGCATGATGCAGCTTGTTCATGCTTACACGCTTGCCCCATCTAGGCAGAGCGCTTGACGTTGCCTCATGCATAGCATCCATTCCGATTGTGCTCAACACCCCCTCTGACCTCTGCACGACGGATCCTCCAAGGATGAGCACTCTTGCGGACAAAGGCTCCTCCAGTTTTGATAAGAAAGCCGCCCTTGTTGGCCACAATGTCAAAGCCTTGGCGGGGCAGGCAAACCGTGAGCAAAATGCTGGAACACCCGCTGACTACGCAATGCGCGCAAGATATCTCTAGGTCCGCGTGCATATCGCTGGCAACCGGCTTCTACCGCCAGCAAGTTTCCAGCTGCACAATTTTAGCAGCCGAGAAGGGTGGAGGGATCTCTCTCCCTCTCGTTTTCTTTTTTTCTTTCTCTCTCGCCCTCAGCAAGCAAGAGCGCCGCCTATCACAAAGCTAGACAAAATGCAAGTAAATACGGTAAATACTGGTTCCCGACTTGCAAGGTGTCGGGCATCAATCCTGTGAAGCCAGAACTTGGCCAACGCTTAGTCGGGCAGACTCCAGAAATCCATTTCAAGGCAAACGTTCTCGAACTGGGTGGCTTGGACTCAAAAGTGCGGAAAGTGCAAAGCCCGTGAAACTTGAGCGGTGTGCTTCTGAAGCGCCAAACCCGCAGTTTGCTTGGGTCCCTGTAAAAAAATGCCTCGGCCTCCAATTTTTGCTTCCACTGCATCGGATCGTGTCTCATGGTTCGCTCGGGCTCTGTTCGGCGACTTTGGCTACAGCGTTGTTTGAGGTGCGTTGGGGCCGTGAGGTGCTGGAGCATAGACTCGGGACGGACGTGACCTCCGGGCAAACGCGTCGCGCGAAGGATTGTAACTTGACCAAATGCGTCCCTAGCATCAATATACCTCTAGTCATTTTAGAGGGTCAATGGACACTCATGTAAGACTTGTTTGTCTTGCATACCTCTGGGAATGTGCAAACCTCGATGTTTTTTTTCAAATGGGACCTTCCGCATCCTCAACATTTCCAGAAAAGCCTGCCGACATTTCCAACATCGGTGTCATTTACTTGTATGGTCATTGAAGGGTACGTATGGTGATTCGAGGGGCATGCAGCAAGCGCTACTTGAGTGAGTTCGCTCCTGTGCGCTCGATGTATATTCTAGTGGGTGTGGAACAAAGCAAACAAGCAGAAGGAGCCCTCCAGACATTGGTGTCCTGACAATTTACCACACGGTTCACAACTTCTGGCTGGGACAGTCTGCTCCTGCCCGCATCGAGATCGGCTTTCGTGTTCCAATGCTGTCGGTTGAGAGGTTGAGTGCTTTCAAAACCTATTCTCGAGGGGGGCACCCAAACGCAAACAACGAGACGCTCCAGAGAGTTCGACAGCAACCAGCTTCGGTCCGACTGTTTTTCACCACACTGCCTCAAGTGGGCGATCGTACCTGTCGGTCGATCAGTATTCTCTCTGGAGTCGATGTCGGTGTCTCTCAGACACCACTGACTCGAAAGCAAAGTACCACGAAATGAAGGTAAGCAAATGCGAATGCATGCAAACCAAAATGTTGTACAGCAAGGTCTCAAAAGGGACTGGACTTTTTCCCGTCCGCTCGATCAGTGCCGAATTCAGTGACAGGGTTCAAGCCCTTTCGCTTGCAGTTGTTACTTCTAACACGGGTGTTAACCGCAACAACATAATCAAGAGAGCGCCTGCTTCGATTTCCGGTTCACACTGTCCCTTATATAGCAAACTCCCGACCACATACAAGTGCCTAGGCTATGATTGGTGTCTCTGAGAGGCGGACGTTGCGAGCTCACAATGCTGCAGCTGGATACCAAGCGTGCTTTACGTGTAAATGTCCAGGCCAACGCCAGTTCGTGCGCGACTGAGGATTGCTCAAGCCATGTCCACAGCCTGTGCACAACTAAGGAGGAAAAATTGGGTAAACAAACCAGATTTCACGCAGGTTCCAAGACAGGATGCACAAGCGTCTGGGCCCTCTACCCAGCTCTTGCGGCACCACCACAGCCAGCACTGTAGCTTTGAAGCCTGGCGATTGACAGATCCTCACTATGGCCTTTGGCTTTCTTGTCTGCAACACCGTCCGCCGTGCAAAAAGTGAAACAAGTTCTGCTTGTTATCCTCTTTCCGCAAACCTGGAAGTTGATACACAAGTTGCCCTGAAGGAAAGTAATTAGTCTTTTCCCAGCTGCCTGTCACCTTCCATGATCGTTGGAGAGAGGGTAGTGGGAAACATGTCCAGCTAAAAGGTTCAAGCTTAAGGCCCAAGAGCATGCAAGCCTACTGTATGTGAAGCGAGACATGCACGTGTACCCACATGCACTCACCATGGGTCGCTTGTTCGCCAACTTCGACGCATTCAGTGCATTTCTGCCCGTTGCATGCAGGATGCACAGCTGCCGTTGATGGGGTTTGCTCACCAGAAATTATAAATTGACATGTGTGTGCGAGCTCTGTGTTGGTGACGGAAATAATTAGTTCCCGAGCACACATGGTAAGTGGCTGGCGACAGGAACTGCGATTGCCACCGGTCACATCCCCTTTTGGCCTCGCTTGTCTTCACCTGGGCGTAGAGTCACCAAAGTGAAGCAAACGTTAATTTTAGGCAAACATGGAACGCAAAAGAGGGTGTTCAAAGTCACCTCAGGCACTGCCTCAGCCGGCTTGTCAGTAAGCAGGCGGAGGCAATACGCGGGAAACCTATCAGGTTAAGAAGCCCGGACAACGCCATGCCACACCAACTAGAAGGCATCAGCCTGGCCCAATTGCAATTTCCCTGGGAAGGCGCCTGGTTGCCCACCCTATATCGATCGCAGAAGCCGACTTGGCTGCTGGCAAAGTCAAAGTTGAAACACTCGCCGTTGCTCAGATGTTTACTTGCTTCACCAATGACCTGGTTGTGGAAAGCTTTGCTTGCTCAACGAATGCGAACAACACCAGCAGCTCCACAAATAGCTATTGGCTTGGCTAAGCCAACCACCCATTCACAAAAAACTTGGAATCCATCGGCAGGCGGCGGAAGCTGCACTTGGCAACGAAAACGAGTTAATCCACAATAAGGCGTGCCTTGCCTTACCCCAACCTGCGGGGGCTGGGGTTGCCATGATGTTGAAATGGATGCGCGTCCTCTGCAGGTTGTGGTTCCAGGCAGTCGGAAAATAGATGGCATTGGTAGAATATTCGAACCTAGCACACCGACTCGCACCAGCGCCATCCATCATTGATCAAACCGACCTCAACATGACTCCTATGCTCAGCTGAAGTGCAAATTGCATCTTGCGTCACTTCCCAACAAACCTTGCCGTGGGGACACCTGGCGAGCCTGTGATGTGCCAAGCTCTAGGGTTCAGAAAGGGGTGCCTCCAAAGGGCTTCTGACAATCTTCCGATGGTTGTGCCCTCTCCTGCTTCACCCCTGTTTCTCAAACAGCCACATGAATCACCCGTGCATGCACCTCCCGATCTAAGGGTTCAACCCAGTGTCACTGGAGCACCTTCATGTACTTGCAAAGGCATCATGCATGGGTACACACACACGCATGCTATATAAACATATATGCATGCTAGAGTTTTATACATGCATATGAATATAACAATCAAACCATACATGTACACATGCAACACACATACCAACACATCCACACACGCACACATGCTTGCATATGATGTATGCATATATATATGTATATATAGACACACATGTATTAATGTAGATGTGATGCATATACTATCAACTTCATGAGACAAAACTGAAACCCTGGCCCATTGTGTTTTTGCAATGACCCTCTGGGCACCCATGCCCAGCACGGGGTAAAGTTCGGACGCCGCCTCAGGCGCGTTTGGCTGGCAAAGGCAAGGCCTTGCCAACGGGTCCCAGGGTATCCCAGCATGACTTAAACCCAGGGTTTTCCCTGAATGAAAGGCCGGGGACTTGTTAGTCATGCGTAGGGGTTTTTGAAATCACTGCCAAGGCACCCTTTTCGTACCCCAATGAAAGGATTATACAATCATAAGTTAAGGATGGCCTTTGAACAGCCCAAATGAAAAGGCATCTGCTTGAAACCGGGCTTCACAACTTTTCGATCCTGTTTGTATCCATTGACGCTGGCACGGTGCAGTCGGCCCAAGCTGCCTTCGCCAACTAGGGTTCTTACGCATGGAAGGGCAAGTTTCCTGTGAAGGCTACAAGCACTCACCCCTCACCCTCATTAATGATGCCTCAAGCAATGCGATGTGCTCACCAGGATGCTTGCACAGCCCATGGCTTGAATGGCTTGAATACACTTGCCCTTGACGAACTGCTAATGCTAACGCAAAGCCTGATGCCCTACCCGCAAGAGCCTGGAACGGCTTTACGTGTGAGCAACGTCGGCTTCAGCACTTCACCCAGGGCAGACTATGCATGGACCTTCTGTGCCAGGCTTTAGGTCGCATGTGCCCTGCGTTGGGGAGCGCCGGGGCACTTGGGCCCTGGACGCCACCAAGTCCATCTCAATTCAATGTCGATTTACCAAACCCGATAGGGCAAAACATGACACCCCAAAACCCCAAAGAAACCCTTTCTGACGTCGCAAAGCAACAACCCCGTTGTGAGCCCGCTGCAACGCCCAAGTCTGAAGCTGGGCGTGGCACGGTCCACTCCCAGAGGTCCCAGGCACGGTCCAAGCCTTCGAAGCAACAGTTGCCGAAGGATGGCCACAGTACCAACCGAAGGATGGCCCTCCCTCAGAAACAAACTAGTTATCTTAATGCCTTCTTCTCAAAGTAACTGGCCCAAGGCTGCACGGAACGTTTGTTTCTGCCGAGCAAACTATCGTTCGGATGCAGGACACGTTTCCTGCGTGAACTACCTTGGGCCAAAAAAGGTTTGTCTTGGGGAGAGAAACAAATCGGAACACTCTGGGGGTGCTTGCTGGTAGCTGTAGCCCTCAAATCTGAAGACTTCTGTTGCAAAAGAAAGAATGACTGCTTGTCGTTGATTCCCTGTTCGAGCTTCTTGACAAAAGGAAGTACGCACCGAGTGCCCTTTAGAAATAAGGCAGGACACACATTTGTCGTGCATGTAAACAAACATGTGCGCACTTCACCTCACTCAACTCATGATCGCAAATCCGTGCTCAGTAAGCATGGCTGAAACAGCTTTGCTTCGCAGGATGCAAAGTGGTGTTCCCGGATTGCTAAACAAATGTATGGATTTGGTGGAATGAGGGGCTCTTGCCAAATTCGGACATGGGCTTGGAGGGAATCCTTCTCTTGAGGGAAACATTCCCCCCGGTGAATCTGCAAAGTGTGCAGGACCAATTCTGGCCACATTTGTTTCCTGAACCTGCTGGGCACAATCTGAAAAGCTCATGGACACTGACTAGCAATAAGCACCTAGCCTCCTTCGCGCCCAGGGAAAAACTCGATTGGAACTGAAAGACCCCAAGGTCAAAAGTAGGGCTGGAACAAATGGGCGGATGATTTCAACATGTTTGACTCAGGCCAGCACTCTCACCTTGAGCTTGGCCTGTGGGCTTGGACGCGTCGCAAGCGGGGTGTGTCTTTTTGTGGGTGCACTTTTGGGTGCTGAAGGGCTGCAAATGAAAAAGCCCCCACCTTGGATGATGCCCCACTTGAAGACAATGCCGTCAAATATCACATTCATCTCACGGTATCAGGTTTGACCCGAAAAGAGCTTCTCAGGAGTGAGACCCTTCGCATTCATTTCCCAACTGTCTGGGCGGGTTGGGTTTGAAGGCTGTGGTGGCGTGCTTGCTTCAACAACTACTTGCACCGCCGGAGGTACAAGAAGTGTCTTGCCACACGACTTGATGGAAATTGCTAGCACTGAGGGTGCAAAGGTCCGGACTTTACCCTGAGCCGGGCAGAGTGGTGCTGACAAATACCCAGCATAAGCCGATGTCCTGCAAAGAACGCTGCCCCAAACATCTGTCGACCTGATGGCAGCCGCGAGTCGAGATGAAGCCCGAGCCGCCCGGCTCTTGCGCTTCCTCTCTGACCTAAAGCAAGAACAGAAAAAAAATGCCAGGCCGAGAGAAAAGCGTGAGGATGCGCCTTTTCAAGCACGAGCCGAAAGCAACTATTGAACACACACTGCCACTCCAAGCCTATTCATGGACACCTTAATTTTCTTGGCCAAAACCCACCTCATTGTAGGCGAGATCATTTTTGTTTGCCAGGTGCGCCTGGTGAGTTTGCAAAAAGCAGGGCAGAATCAGGCCAACTCCCCTTGATGCCAAGCAACTGCTCACGCTCCTCCTTTGAGCGTCGCATCGCCGCAAGATAAGCTGAAGCTGCCTGCAAGGCCGCAGGCGGGACGTGCACTCGCGCGTGTGCTTGACCTCTGTGGCCAGCAAGTGGCTTCTCCTCATTTCTCAACCTCGAGAAAGTTAAATCTTGACAAACAGAGTCCATTGTAGTATTTGCCCATGTGCCCGCCTCCCTCTGGCAACAGCACCACGATTGAGCAGGACAAAACTGGAACGCTCTTGTGGATCATCTACTTGAGTTTTCTTTCTTCCAAGTTACTGGCGTCGAACTCAGATCCTGATCCAAATGAGTGGAGAATCAGCACATTCGCAAACTCTGACGTGGCTCCTTGAAGACGCCCGCCTGTAAAATATGCCAATAAACACTAAATCACCATCAACATCAGTGACCAAAGGTGATGCTCAAAAACCCAAAGACAGGAACTGTAAGAACGCCAAAAAACTGAGCGGCTCGGTCTCGCACGCGCCAGCTGTTTTCCTTACCATTGCCCTCACTCCGCGTCAGCTTGCCTTTGGCTTCAGGAACCTGGGCTGCAGGGCTGCCGCGTAGGGGGAAAGACTGCGAACGGGCAGCAAGAGGAAAACACAGCAAACGCATACGCGCACGCCCCTATTTATAAATAAACCTGGATCCCAGAAAGGCAAACCCCAAACGGAGATGCCCTTAAACGATGCGCTTGCTCCCACATCAAGCTGCGGAATGACTCATTTTGCACCATGCTAGGAAATATTTATGGTCCGAGAATGCAAGAACGAAGTTAACAAGCAAGTAAAAACACTTTGCCTTTTTTGGCTGGTAACATACAGGTTTGTTTGGACGACAGCACGCATGCGCCTTTGAACCGAGTACCCGCCACGCCCCAGCGCCCCAGTGCAGGCCCCAAAGCGAAAGATCAAGGGTATTCCACCGTTCCAGGGCTCCCTTCTTGGAACACTTGCGTCATGTGTGTAAGTTGGTTTTTTTTGTGAGGCTACACATTTTCTTTTCTGGTTGTGCGAAAGGAAGCACAACCCGAACCCCCTCCCCATTAGGTTCCCATACGTGAGGTGCAGCTGGGCGGCATGGCCTCCGAAAGGACCTCGCTGCGCGCCTCTGCACATTGCCAGGCCCTGGCGCGGCTGAGGTCCTCATCCACAGCGAAGCCCACGCCCAAGGCCAGGGGCCGGTAGGGCGAGGGCTTCTCCTGAAAAAAAGAAGAAGAAAAAAAACAAAACACGGGGTGCTTCGTGCTTCTCCCTTCTGCATAAATGGTTCATTCAAATTACACCATTTTTGGGGCACCTGGCATCAGCATGCTGCCATTGTGTTTGGGGTATGTACCCTGGACACGCCCTGTGCAACCACTGTCAAATCTATTTATTGTCACTGAGGAATGTCCGCAGGTCCACCCCCCCGAAGAACAGCCAAATAAGACCCACTACTGCCTTAGCAGCCCTTCAGGCTTTGGAATTGAGAGACACCAGCTAACCACACCCTGCTGAGGTTCAAACAATTTCTTTCAACGCCAGATCAAGGCATATCATGGGCATCATAGGTGGCAAGTATCTGTCTGCAAATGTTGAAGCCATCTCATATCAAGCCCCTCGTGATTTCCAGGTGAGGTCTGTTCAAAACCCCATGTGGACCAAGTAAGTAAAATGCCACAAACAACACACGAGATGGTAACGGCTGGCTGCTTGAGGTTTGGGTTAGTGACCACCCCAAAGCAATCCCTTCCCTAAACTGGGATGGGACAAAAAACACGAGCCAAAGTCAAACCTACGTGGTTCCCGTATATAATGGACATGGGATCTTCGTGGATCACATTTGATAGCGTCGCGAAATCCAAATTGACAAAAACACAACCTTTTGACTGAACCTCACATGATTGCTGAATCTGCACGTTCGAGAAGTTTCAAGGTTTAGCTCTTAGCTAAAATTGCAAAACACGCTGGCGTGTCTCTGAAAGCATGGGGGAGAGCCATATGGAGTGATGTCCTTTTGGGTCTCCCTTCAAGCCAGCCCCAAAGAACGTACCCTCAAAGAAACGACACTCCCAAATGGCGCTCTGCTTGGAATCGAACAGCAAACAGTCGCCTTTGAGGCACCGGCCTTGAGGTGCCCAACCCCCACCCCCCACCCTCCGTTTGCCCCATCCTCATCCTTCTTCAGGGCCTTCACTAGTGACAGGTGCCACTTCAGGCGCACCAAGCCGCCCAGGCGCTTGGCCTCCAAAGTGATCCGGACCAATCGGCTACAACGGCCCTAAGGGGGTGCATTAAACACATAGCACCTGGTTTCTTTGGAGAAAAGTGAACACAAATAATGGAACTAGTTCTTTGGGGAAGTGCACCACTAAAAATAGCACCTCACTCGCTTCCCTTGGCGACAATACCACTTGGTGTCCCTCGGAGGCATTTCTAGAACAACGGCTGTCCGAAAACTTTGGGGCATGTTGAAAGGGTCAAGAGGAAGCCAACCAGCCTTGGGGGGATGCAAAGAATGAAAAGGGCAGCGAGCCGCACTCATGGTTGGCATGTCAAGCTAAAACTGCAAACACCAATGGTTTGTTGGGTTGTTTTGAAGGAAAATCGAAAGAATGTATCCATTGTAGGGCCATTTGGAGAATACCCCGTGCTTTTTGTGTGCCCCCCCCCAATTGATCATAGCCAACTAGATGCTTCAAAGAAAGTGCTGTAGCACCGGACACACCGTCCTGTTTGGACGATGGAAGTCAATCAAACACCATACAATATAGATCAGGCATGAACAGGATTTTCATTTGAAACAGCTCTATTTCTACAGGGGATATTCCCATTCTCTCTAGGGATCCTGTTCCCCAGAAAACCGCAAAAGGCTCCAGGGAAAACAACTGGTTGAAAAGAATGGACAAAGCATCAATTCCAGAGTTGTTGGGACGTTCCCTTTTCGATATACTTGATTTTCATAGACATCAAAGGATCAAGCCATCGAGTATCGTCCAGGACGAGCCCTTATTTTGTTCGCACATTTAAACTACTAGTGTCTAACCAACCTCCTTTTAGTTTCGTTTTAAAGTGTGCCAGGGGATGGTAGTTCTGGGCTTCTTCTTTTGACTGCTTCTGGGGACTAAGTCAGAAACGAGGGCCAGTTGTTTCCCTACATGCCGCTGAAGAGGGTGACTTTGATGGACGAAAAATAAACTAGCCCAACTGGCTATGTCCAAGGCAAACCCGGTTGGGCCAAATCATATGGGTGCTCAAAAATAAGAAGCTAGGGGTTACGCAGGGTTTCGTCTTTGGTTCCTTTTAGGTGCCATTTTGGTACATGCGTTTGAGCCACAGCCGAATTGCAACCAGCTTTGCCCAACGGATCCTCCTCCATCTGCGCCGCGGCGTCGGGGGAGAAGAAGTCCAAACAGGCCACATCCGCCGCCTCCTCTGTGTCGAAGCAGGCCGAGGAGACCAAGACGCAGCTGCTACTGCTGAACTCCACCTGGGATGGTGAGAGATTCAAACGGCTGGTGGTACCAAGAAAAGGCCAGTTTCTGTGACTACTTGTCACTTTGAAGGGGGGAAGTGGCCCTCCAAACCCTTTTCACAACCGAAAAAGTGCCAACGCAAACGTGGCCACATTGACATGGGCAGGGGATCTCATTGATTTTGGGCTCAAAACACTACGAGGTTGATCAAATGGATGTTGGACTGCGGGTTATAACCCGAAAAGAAAAACATTTGGTTACGAATGTTTGTGTACACCTGGCTGTCAAAAAATGACTGGATCGAAACTATTAGTAACTATGGACGCCCAAAGGGAAATCACAATATCCCAGTATTGGATCCCCTTGGAAAACAAAATGCCCGCCGAATAGAAGGAACGATCCATTTCCCCCGCCCATTCGGAACTGAGAAAAGGCGCTGAACCAAACTGCAGGGATTCCGTCTGTGGTCTGGTGGCTTTGACTGCCTTCCCTGAGGCCGGTCAACATTTAAAAGGACCTTGCGCTGTGAGTCAAACTTGAAAAATTGAAGAATCCAAGTTAATCCAAGATGGTGAGAGCAAATGTCCAAGTCTTGCAAAGCCACATCCACCGCATCTAGCTTGCTGCCAGTGGCTGCCAGTCGCGTAGCTATGGCGCTCTTCAGCTTGTCCGTCTCCCCGCTGCCATTCTGGGACTCACGTGCCTCTAGAGGCACCTGGCACCAGGCCCGCAAATCTGCTTCTGCCTTACCTGCTATGAGCTGCTCCACCTGAGCCAAGAGATCCCGTGCACATTCTCTTTGCCTATCCTTCTGCTTCTGGGGCTGCCTGGAGGCAGACATGAGAAACCCAAAGGAGGAGGCGGACCCAGAGGCGCCTCTGGTCAACATCAGCACTGTGACATTGGCGTTGCTCATCGCCTGCTGTGGGGGATCCATGGCTTCAAGCCAGAAAAGGCTCCAGCCCTTGTCCCGCGCATGCTGCTGGAGCTTGCTGCGCGCGTCCGGCTCCACCTTCTCGGGTCTCGGCTTCTTCTCGGGCCGCCTGGGGCTCGGCGCCCTGCGCTTGCGGTCCCTCCGCGGCGATGCCTCGCGGCCCGGGGGCGCGGCGCCGTAGCCCGGCACGGGCGCCGCGCCTGGCACCGGGGCCCCTGGCGCCCCAGGCACAGGGTAGGGATAGGGATAGGGATACGCAGGCGGAGGGTAATACTGAGCATAGTGCGCCGCATAGGGATCCGCCGGCGGGTAGGTTGGAGGAGGGTAACCAGGGTATGCTGGTGGATAGCCCGGTGGTGGGTAGCTGGCTGGTGGATACTCCGGTGGTGGCTGACCTGGGGGTGGCTGCCCTGGGTGTGCTGGAGCCGGCATATGCGACGGGTGTGCATGCACAGGAGGCGCCTGCGCCGGGTCAGCAGGTGGAGGATAGCTGGCGGGTGGTGGATACCCATACTGGCGGTAGTAGTCGTAGTAGGGGTCCGTTGGTGGCGGGGCTGCTGCCTGCGCAGGCGGCTGATGCGGCTGCGCGTAGTACTCCGGTGGGTTTTGGGCTGGGGGCGCTTCAGCAGGAGCCGGCTGAGTTGCTGGCGGATATGCGTATTGAGGTGGATACCCAGCAGGTGGTGGATACCCAGCAGGAGGCGGCGCGTATGGGTAGCCTGGGGGAGGATATGACATCACCGGTCTTTCTGATGCAGCGTTTCCGCCGCAGTCCCCCTAGCCGAAAGCCAAAATGGCTAGGGCATGCAGAAGTGTGCGCTTTGATGCCATTTGACTCCACATGTCACCAAGACTTACCAAAACACCTTAGGCCATGTTTCGAGGAACCCAAAATGAGTGGATACAAATCGGTTTCCCTTTTCAACAACCAGGGTACACTCAAGAAATGCACACCCATCACACAACAAAATCACACAGGCCTCTTGTGGTGTGGCCGAGCATGGCACCGATGTGCGCTTGCTGGGCTGATAGCCCTCGACCAGAACCTGAGGAGTAAGAATGCGGTCTCAGCGCCACACGCAGACCTGCAAACACAAACAAGAATGGAAGCAAACTGAATTGATCCGGAAGTATGCTGACTGCTGTGAACCATCAACCATCATCAACCACAGCGTGGTGGTTCTTAGTGAAGGCCTACTGCATCTTGTCAAGCCATGCCAAGTGATCATGACAAAAAAAGGCAAGCATGGATGGAAGCCTATTCCTTCCATACCTATTGAACATATTGGGGCAATACTGCAGTGTTCAGCAACAGGCCCCAACATAGTTTCAACTCAGACACGCTGAGCACCAACCTCTTTCAGGCAGAAGGGCCATGATACATGTCCTGCCCCCTGAACGCCACCTGCCTTCTTTTCGATCTCAGGAGGTACGGCGATGTAGTACCTGAGTGTGTCAGCTCCTGGTCTATTCTTTTGAGGGTACCGTAATTTTGATAAGACACCCACTTAAAGACTTCGCAAAACCTAAACGACCATGCTGCGACGGCTGTGCTTGGAAATGTCTGCGGTCACAACTGTCACAATGGTCACAACTTAAAATGCTTGCCCATTGAAACCAGTAGCACTACTCACATGCATGACAAACTGTGAGAGGAACATCGGGGAGAACAAATGGGGAAATGTGACCTATTGCTGACGTCCAACACATGATACCACATGACGGACGTGCCATGAGCATCAGTCAGTTCTTCAAAGAAATGCAAAAAACAAACAACAAGCAACCACCTAGCAACACCAAGCCATAACTAAAAGCCGCTGAACCCGACAAAACCGAGGACTGGAGCACGGGGCTCCCAAGGCACAAAGTGGCGGAATCGAATCGCAGCTTGCCTCTGGGCAGGCTTCTCCGACAAGCTCCGCAAAGGCGAAGACTCGAAGAGGTTACCAGCTGCCTTCGGCATGTGCAAAAGACGGGGCCAGAAACCAGAGGTGTTTGTTTGCTTGCTTGCTTGTGTGCCTATTCGCTTCTCAAAAACAAACTGGGGCTGTTTTCTTCCTAACCCGTTGGGGTGGAGCCATGTTGCCCTCGTTTGGTGGCTGGCTTTAAGCATCGCCAAGACCCACCACCCCAATTTGCAGCCCGCTGTTTTGTAGGACGCACATGGACAAGCTCGTGGCTTGCCTCCACCACCCAGCGCTCTTTTGCGTCATGTGGCACAGAGCGGCCTGCCAGGCTCCTGCAGAGTTCGATTCGAAAGCTTCTAGCTAGAGAGGCGGGCTGTGGGAACATTGCCGTCGGAAGAGAAGTGGGAGAACAACAGCTCATTCCCACACATCTGGAGATCTAAAACAGAGCCGCCTTGTGACCAGTGCAGTTTACTTGACGAGGCCAAGGGTGGTCTTGGGTGGGATGCTTTGAAGCTTTCCCGGCCAAATGCTTCGGCTACCCTGCCAAGGACTTAAGTCCAGGAATGGTGCGCTCTGGCATCCCTCGGTGTCGGTCATGTTGTGCATTCTTCGGAGAAGCCTAAAATTGAGAATTGTGTGCAAACGTGTGCTTCACACAAATGCTTCGAACATGCCCACAGTTGCAGCAGCACTGCAACTAGTCAAAAAAGTGCCAACCATCCCAATTCTCCGAACAGCCGGCTCGACATCCACAAAATGCGTAGCCTCATGCAAATTCTCATGGGTGGATCGAAACCAGCGGCCTAGCGGGCAAATGTCCACGCCATTCGCCATTCGATCCGGGCACATGCGCTTTAAGCATCTCAGCATTGAACCACTCGTCCTAAAGTATGGCAATCGCAAAGGCGGACACGGGTCCAGCAAAAGGACCTCTCAAGCAAGGCGTCCATAACATCTCAAGGTTGAGCTGCCTCTAGAGCGGCATGGCGTAGTGTCTGGGGCTGCTACAGGACGCGCCATGCGGCGGGGCCAAAGCTGTGTAAATGGCAAATGTGGCAAGTGTATGCAAGTGTGACTGTGCAATGCCGCATGTACTCCAGCAAACACTAGAAGCCGTTCAAGCCAACTTCGAGCAATTCTTTACAATGGTCCTGACGCAACGCAAATTGGCATTTCTGTTGTGCCCACATTCCAGGAACACAATGGGGAAGTCCCCTTCGCGACTCGATGCCAATCGCACCCCTCGCATGCAGTTGGGAGCGGGATCCCTGGATCCCCGTCTCCTCTGCTTCATTTTGGCCCGCATCTGCGCGGTCTGCTCCTGGGTCTCGTTCTGGGCAGCCTGCCGCAGCCGCAACCGCCGCCGGAACTGGGGATCCAGACCTGCAATTCGCGAGCCGGCGATCCGCTCCCTCTACTGCCTGAAAAAGGGCCCAAGACTGCAAAGGCAACTTCCGAAGAGGAACGCGCAAATCACACAAAAGTTTGACGTTTTTCACCTGAAGTCCTGTTGAAAAACCATGGGGTCAGGCACCCTTTAACCCATGAACATTGTTGCAATCGTGCACTGATGAGGCCGTGTGGCTGACAAACTCCTGCTGCATGGACTCCGAGGACAGCATGAATGACACGGCAGCGTTACCTGCAAGCATGTGCGGAAAGGATTGGCTTAGGCGCTAGCTTAATCTTGGTCAGCTCAGTTTGAACAGTTGGCAGCCTTCAATGATTTGTGCCACCCTGCTCCTCCAAGCTAAGCATGCCTTGAAGCCAAGTGCATGAGCTTCAAACTTGACTGCGCGAGGCTAGCATTCGAGATCATACTGACATTCATCCAGCGAGGCACCAAAATGTGAATTCCAACAGGCACTGTCCCGTTTCATCATGTTTGAGCTCACTGAGTCTGACCAATTGTCAATGTGTGCGTGTTTGTGCGTTCGTGTGTTTGAGCGTTTGTGCGCGCGTGCGTGCGTGCGTGCGTGCGTGCGTGTGTGTGTGTGTGTGTGTGTGTGTGCGCGCGCGTGCGCGTAAACATGTCAATGTGTGCATGTGTGCATGTGAGCGCGTGGGGGCGTACGCGTGCGACTGTGTGCGTGTGTCGTGTGAGTGCCCTCGTGCGCGCGAATGCGCGCGCGTGCACTTAAGCGCGATTGCGCGTGGGCTTGGGTCCGCGGCCACCGTGTTCTTTAAGAACCCAGGGGGGCTGAGCTCTCTGATGCTACTCGGTCACAGGAAGCTATGCATCAGAGAGGGACCCATCTTACAGCCAGCAAGGGCTGTACCACTCGATCACCGTACTCTAACCGTCAACTCGAAGACCCAACTCGAACTTTCAGATTTCTTTGTCGCGAGTTTCAGTGTGGGTTTGTGCTTGTGTTTGTGTTTGTGTCTGTGACATTGGGGGACGCAGCAGGAAGCCACGGCGGACATTCTGGCGCACGCTCTTCCCAAATGATGAAATCAACAAAGCATGGCACTACACGCCACAGCCATCAACAGCCGAACTCTGGCGTCATTCATAGGGTCTAATGCTGCTCTGGACCAGTTGCCATCTTCGAAGTGAGGACAGTCCACTCCAATGGGGCGGTACCTTGGAGCAGAAACACGCGAAGGGGAGGCCATAAAATTTGCAACCTAATGACGAGGGCACTGCTTGCTCAAAACCTTTGCTCACTTCCAGTTTATCTGGAAGTGGATCTCTGCAAAGCTATAATCAAAGTGGGGCCTTGCGACTATGATGCCCATAATAGGCGATCCGTCCCAGGCTGGTGAAAACTGATGGCAACCACCTGCAATCACGAAGCAACCCAAAGCCCTGAAAGCCCTCCTTGCGCTTGCCAACCCTCATTCAGTAATATCGTCCAAGCTCTTGTCACGGTTTGTCGTAGGGCAACCTCTAAGGAGAGAACACCAAGCAACAAAAAGCTGAGGCGCAAGGCAAGTCCCGGCCGCTTAGCCACTGCTCTGTCGCCCAAATACCCGCTGGAAAATAATATGTCAGCGATTATCAAAGCACGGCGTGTGCTACAAGATCCCTTGCAATTAGAAACCAATCAAAACAGTCGCCGGCGAGTAAACAAGGATGGACAGGGGAGCCTTCAAAAGCAACTATCATGATGGATGCTCTTGGCTGATGACAACATGGGTGGATGCGTGCTTTTCACATATCTTCAAGAGCCACGGTCAACAATGGTGGACATGGGACAATTAGCGGGTCCCAGTGAGTCCAGCACGTCTCTTGCGAATTGGCCGCATGCCCGAGGGGCTGGAACGCCTGGCACTGCAGTATGAAGGTCAGACCCTCTTCTCGTGAGCCTTGCAGGCAGCTCAAAGCTGGCACAAACTGCGGAAAAAAAGAAAGAAAAAAACTGCTTCTTGTTCGTCTCTATCACCTCTTTCGGTGGATAGCAGTTGCCCGCATGACGCATGACAAATGTGCTGCTCAGCAAAAGGGCAACGTTGCATCTCAATGTTGATGAAGTCGAGTCGCTGAAGGCCTGAACCAAAGTCCACTTCGTCGTCATCTCTGACCTTATGACTGCATTCCATGAGAGAATGGAGATCTCATATCAAAATGCGCGGACAAAGCACAGAAGAACCTACGGGCATTCATTAACCGAGGCGCAACCCACTATATCGCGTATTTTGTTGTCCGCGTGCAAACAAAAATCAATATTCGATCAACGCACACTTCCAAATGCACGAGAACAATACGCTAGGTACATAATATATGTCAAGCGTAGATGCGTGTGACATGCCCCAGGTGCCGGACATGCGCGAAGTGTTTTCAAGTTGTTGATGTGCTCGAAATGACCCACACGTCTAACGTGCGCATGAGTTTGACCCCCCCCCCAGTCAATAATACGCTTCTCGGGTACTTGATCTAAAACACACTGGGCTGGCAAAGTGAATAGTCCCCGTGAATTCAACACAACGGTTCAAATGGCTAGATAACAAGTGCCTTCGAGACTTGCGAGGCTAACAAAGGGCCAAGGTGAAAAGTGCCCCTTGCAAAGTCAGCAAGGGCACTTGCTGGTTTAGTTTGTGTTAGACGGAGAAAAACTCCCCTCATTATGAGTTGATGTCCAGAGCTTGGCATGCGTTTTGGCTGCTTCAAATCCTCTTGGATTTAGCTCTGATTTCCCCCCTCTGGCCAAGTGGTGTCTAAGCTTAAAATGCAGAACCTGGGATAAGCAATCTGGCGCAAATGCTGCCTGGAATGTTTGCTGAGGCTGCACTGAGTTGCAGACCGGGCACCCTCTACATACCGATTTCCGTTGCATTTGCGGTGGAGTCATACCTAACATGTCTGACGTCTCTGACTTCCGGCAGTGCTGGTGGGTTCACAGTGCTGTCCAGGAAGCGCCATGCTGTGACCTGTGCTGAAGCAACCAAGCAGTGTAAGATCTGCGCGCGCCCTGTCGGACTGTAACCAGCCAAAAGGCACTTCCACAAATGCCGCGGCCGCGATCGCCCTTGCCTTGCTGTATCCTGCCAGCTCAGGATGCAGGGTAGCCGGAGACCCGGTTTTTCCAACCCCGAGCCAATTTTTGTGGACCTCCGTTTAACCTTTTGCTTGGCGGGCCAAAAATCAAAGTTGAGGGTTCAAAAAACAGGCCCCCCCCAGTAAACCACTGCAACAACTGCAAGACTCCCATCGGGCACCGCACCAACTTTAAAGATACAATCCTAGTGTGCGTGAAAAGCAACTTGGGCCATTTAGCAAGCCACAGGTGCCGGCAAACTGTCGGGTCTGCAATCTGTAGCGTGAACGTTCTGGCTCAACCAATCTCCATTCACTCACAAAAGCAAGCCTTTCCGCTGCACATGTTGTTTTTAACATAACATATGTACACATGAAAAAGATAGATCACGCAACATGATGATAAATGTATGTATGACCCAATGCTGAAGCCAATGCATTTTGGATCCACCCGGGAGGCCAAAGGGCACAAGATTGAGTAAGCACTCTGCACGGCCTCGCAACCCCCAGCCTGACTTGCTCTCTGCCCTGGCCATCTCCATGGCTTTGTGCGCTGCACGGACCAACTTCTCCTCAGCCAGGCCGACTCTCAGATCTTCAATGTGAAATGCTTCCAGGCTGAGTCTGAGAAAACTATATTATATAGTTGAATCACTTTTTTAGTTTAGACCAAAGGCCATTTCTAGCAAGTTCTGACCCATCCTCGTACAAACGCAAGCACAAGCGCAAACACAAACGCAAATGCGCAAACACAGAAATGCACAAACACACAAACACACAGAAACACTCGCACATACACATCTATATACGCACGCACGCATGCACGCACGCACATCCGCGCAATCAAGTCACACTTGCCTCGTGCGGGCTCACATTCGCAATGCAAGTCGCATGCAAACAACCAGTGCAAGTCACACACAGTCCCTTTTTGATGGCGCTTAAAGGGCGATCAACAAGAAGCCAACAAGTTTGAGGCTCTCCTTGTACAGGAGACCCGCAGCCCTGGCTATGGCCGCAAGGGTGCCCATTTGCAGCCTGGGAGCGCTCTTCCGGCTGCGCTTATCCTTGAGAAACTTGTCTTGCACCTATCAACTGGCAAAACAAATAGCACCCATGCAGCACTCCACAAGTGACGTGTGTCTGCATTCACGGCTTGCATGTACGGCTGCCACTCACCCACAACCACGGGCTTTCTTGCACCGCGCCTCAAGGGCCCTCATCACCATTTCAGCCCGCGTGCAGCTGTCCACTGCTGACTGGGCAAAGACCTGAGCAACATCCCGACGGGGAGCAGCTGAAGTGCAGTGACAAGTCAGGGGTCTGAATTGTAGCAACGTCCATCCCTTGCTGATTTCCGCTCAAGGATATTGCTAGCAATCGGTCTAGGGCCAGAGTCTAGGGGAAGAACCTAGCCCACTGGACCACCCCCAGGAAAGGTTCTGGAGAAGGGTGTCCCGGTATCACTCCTAACCAATCCTATTGTGGCAAGCTTCCCACACGCCTCACCGAAACCAGACTAACTAGAAAGCTCCCCGGAACACTTTTAATCATCTGGTGTAAGCTGAAAACTGACTCAATGTTGAGTTCCCACTTCTTAACAGAAGAGTGTGGCCACATATGCAATGCCCATCCCGCAAAAACCATCCATCTCTGTCCACGAAAAGATCCAAAAGGCCTGCACGTATTTAGCAGAACCAGCTTCAGGCCTTGGCTGTGACATGCTGCCAAGTGGCTGACTCCGCATGCTCTTGTGGAGTGATGCCTTGCGCCTGGCGCTGTCAGGCGCAAACTCTACAAAAAGGCTTGACTTGCGGCCATCCAGGTTCAACTCTGTACCTGGGCCCAGTTCCCCTTTGGCTCCCCTGTAAAAAAAACACATCTAGGGGTACTTCTAAAAGGACAACCCGCATGAAAAGATTAGATCTGCCTGAAGCTGGGCAATTGAAACTTGAGCTGGCTTTGGTCACTGCAGAGTCGCTTTCTACTCTTTGCCAGCTTAACTGCATGGCCGGTCATCAGCACTGTGTGCTCTTGTAACTATACAGAGGAAAGGCGGTTCATTTCTAAAAATTGGGCCCCCATGAACCTGCAGGGAGATGGTTGATGTCATGCATGGCAGATCCAATGGGAGCCAGCCCCACCCAAAAGCCACAGCCCGCGCCTGGGACCACTCCTCTAGAAGGGCGACATCCCCTGGCACGATGTCGATCTTGGCGATGCGCTGGAAGTAGGTCTCTGGCGTACCAGCACCTGGCAGCAAACTGATCGCAACGGATGCTGACCGATTGCCAAGTCATATGAACACATGCGTCTTGCATCTGAAGCACACAGGCATGCTTGCAGAATATTCAGCTACCAAAGTACAATAGAAAGCCAGTTCTCCAATGGGGGACTCCTCTAATGACACTTCTTGGGGTTCCATGTCGCTTCGGTGAGTAACTTGGAGCTGTGTCAGTCGCATCAGCCCACCTTCTTCCGCCTCCCCCTCATCCTGCCAGCCGCCCAGGGCAAAGAGCGACCACATGGGTGCTGTCTTGAGGGTTGTCTTGAAGGTGTCACGTGCGTTTGAAGGGGAACCAAACGGAAAGCACAATTTTGGGGCCCCTCTCTTTTTGACATGCCCGAATCATGTCACTGTGGCAAGTGGACATGTCAAGCATTTGCGCATCCCTTGGAAGAGTGGTGCCATTGCAAGTGTACAAACAAACAAATGTGGAGACGGACATATGGGGGCGTTGACCTGGCTATTCACGGAAAGAACTTCTGCAAAAGGGTCGACATGCAAAGATTGAAGGCCTTCTCATGGGAAAGGCTTCACGAAGGCAAAACGGTCTGGAGCCCAAGCAACCTTTTGGAATTTGGTACTTATACTCTCAATTCCTTGCATGACCATTCAAGCCAAGTCGCCTCACCAGGCAAAACGAAAACCATCTACAGTATGTAGGAACCCAAACCAAAGGCTATCCATCTTTCAGGACAGGTATGGACAGGATCTAACCTTCTTTAACTTTAGGTGGGATGCGAGCTTAGAACGCTTCTTGGAATTTGGTCTGAAGGATGCCGGCCCTAAGCAATCCCAAAGAGCCCGGTTCCGCGCCTCTGCCATTCTTGCTGGCCCATCTTGGGCCAAGCTGCGGGTGATCTGGCCCCTCTGAATGCAACCCCAGCTACTCGACATAGAAACATGAATAAGTCATTGCGAGTGTACCTCTGCAAACATACATATATCTGCATGTATATATATATATACGCCGTATACATGTACATGGACACGTGCGCAACAACAAGCTAGCACCTCCTCCATCAACTTGGTCGCAGTGAGCAGTCTCATTGACCTCCCCAAACGCGCAGGTCAAGCTGGCATGGGCGGAAAATGGTGAGGGAAGGAGTGCCAAGACTAACCTTGCGCAGCTTGCAAGCCTGGTAGGGATCCACATCTTCAAACATCCAAGCCTCACATTCTTGGGCACCCGACCCGTGCAGGAGCAGAGGTCGGCTGAGCAAGTCCTAGGGTATGGTGCAAACGCAACTTTCGATCTGCTGGTGGCAACGTATCCAGTTGCATCCATCCGTCCCTCCCTCCCTCCAACCATCCGACCATCCACAAAGTGAAACGAAATCAAGACGAGCGATTCACAACTCCTAGCTCGAATCCGAATGAACCCATTGTCACTTCAAATGTGTTCAGCACTTGAAGTGTTCTGAACGCCTACTTGACGAACCCTAAGGCGCCTTGTCTGTTGGGGCCCTATCGGGGCATCTGAGCCCGGGACCTTGCGCGCTTGCCTGCAACGTTCGAACGAAAAAAAGAAGATGGCATCGACTGGCAAGAATGGAAAACACAGTGGGAACATCAGACGGCCGGAAGGGGCAGCTAGTGCCGAACGATGGACATCATATTTTTACAAATGACTGCAAGGGAGCTCCCTGCGTCCCCCACTGGATTGACAAAATTGCACTATATAATTGTATAATCATACCCTAGCAATCACAGCAGGTCGAGGTGACTGCATCAACTGGACATCACAATAACCCAAATAGTGGCCCCTTTTCAGCTGGCGCAGCCTATCAGCTTAAACTGTGTCTAAAAGAGCACACGGTGAAATGCTGGAAAGAAATTCAACAGATCCTAGAAAAATCGATCCGCACACATCTTTTCAACATTCACAGCGGCAAGCTTGAGTGACCGTTTGGTTATGCAACACCACTGGCAAACACACACACAGCCACACACACACACACATCTATTTAGGTATGTGTCAAAGAAGGGCCGGTTGCCTTTGGGTTTCCCTCTCAACCAATCATTCTAGATACATAGGCAACTTACATGTGCAAATATGTATATACATGATGCAATGTTTGCTTCGTGCTCATTGCCATCTGTATCAGGGGCATGCAGTCGTAGCTACGCTTGGGCGGAGACCCGCACCAGGCGCGCCCAGCGAAATGCTGGTTGAATGACGCAAGCGGAACAATATGGCCGCAAACTGCCAAGTGATTGATGGGTTCCACTGACAAATCGCACTTTTGGAAGTCCGAATGGATTTGTATTTCTCGAGGGTGCCCGTTGTGGGGTGCCTCCGGAGGTGGGGCTGCGGCGGGCACCACGTGCGCAGTGACCTGATGAAAAGCGCAGTGCAACGTGTCGCGCCGGATTCGGAACCCAGACCTGTTGGGGGGCAAAGCAATGACATGAAGGTTCCTTAAAGGATGCATCCACCTGCTTTAGAAGGAATTGGATCCTCTGGATCAGATGGTAAAGGTAATTTCAAAATGGGCCGAAATGTATCAAATAAGGGGCCCTGGTGAATGCATACATGTAAATTAAATGGCCGAAATTAGTTTGGCAAGGTGTGAAGTCAAATCATGTCAAGTCTAGAAAGCATTTCATCAAGTGCCGCTTTCAGGCCCAATAAGCAAACATGTCGGTAACTGATTCTAAAGAGTTGCAGGGCGTCAAGCTCTATACAAGAGGAAGCATGCTCGACTTGCTGGAACCAAATAGGCCACCAGCAAGCAAGCAAGCAAGCAAGCAAGCAGGCAAGCAAGCAAGCAAGCAAGCAAGCAAGCAATCAAGCAAGCAAGCAAGATTCACCCTGGTGCCATATCGGATTTGGAAGTAAGTAGCGCCAATATTCTTGAATACGGCCTTGCTGCATTCTTCTTGCAAGCAGTCAGAAGCACAGGATGAACGATTACCTATTAGTTTTGAGTGAGCCAAACAAAACCAATGATTGTTATTTGCCGCTAATCTGGTCATCCCAGGAATGCAACATATCCTGCTCTGCTGGCCAGCCTGCTGCATGGCTCGCCCTGGCATGCTGGCCGTTGCTCAAGCGCATGTGCGTCAGAATCATCCAACTCAGTCTGTGCCGTCATGTCGAATCATGCTACCAAAGAATGGGAGCCTAGATTCCCCTACCAACATGAGTTTGAGGCAATACATTTGGGTCACGCCTAGTAGTGGTCAAACCGAACTTCGAACGACAAATCGCAGGTGACTAAAACCACGAGGGGACAACACCCTGTCACAATCCTCGGTCCTCACTCTCTGAACGCCGCTGTGGAGCAGAAAAGCAACCCCTGCCTGGCATGACCTGGCAGGGTGTCAAACGGTGCGATGGATCCCGAGACCTACACTTTGACCTGGATCTTCCATATGCGTTCTACGTCTGAATTTTCATCCATCATCCATTCTCCCTTCCAGGAACAGAGAGCAAAGCAACAAAATCAAAAAGCAGAAGACATAGAAAACGGGGGTGCGCATCAAGAAGGTGATAGGGCTCGATCGTCATAGCTTCTCAACGACATTGTGCCCAACATTTGGCCCAAGAAGAAGAGCTCAGCATAGGACATAGTTGGAGGCAATGCTTGAGCATGCGGGGTATCAGCATTCGGGACGCAAACGTAGACCGGTCAAGCTACAAAAGAAACAACCCATGTGTGTGTGTGTGTGTGTGTGTGTGTGTGTGTTGGTGTCATGCTGCATGTCTGCATATATATATATACGACGTTCCGTACCCCTATCGCTTTTTCTGCCAAGCCAGAGCAGCATTCACAATGAAGCCAGATTGCGCGCAACCTGCGAACATTTGCTAAGCCATGCAGTCCACCAGAATTTGGCACGGTACAAGTGCCAACCAACTGCTCTCGCAAAGCAATCTTGTCGATGGAGCCCGAGCGTGGGCTGCTAGTGGAGGTAGTACAAAGGACATGTAGGAACGTACAACATCGTCGAAATTATTATGGTTTCCTGTTAGGAAAACATTGGAAATCCCCTTGCGAGCCATCAGTGACGCTCCAATCCGCGATGAAAATGAAGCCATGGCATCGCCCTGCCTGATCCATCTGCTTCCTCGCCCAGTCCTCAAGCAAGCAAGCAAGCAAGCTAGTAAACTCAAGCCAAGTAAAGCCAAATCAGACCAACATAGAAACATAGAAACAAACAAATGAACAAACAAGCAAACAACGAAACAACCAAACGAACAAACAAGAAGCAATAACGAAATACTTACATTACATACATGCGCACACACACACAAACATACATGCACACACGCGCACGCGCACGCATTCACGCGCGGCAGGCTTGCGCAAATTCACGCTCACACACACACACACACAAGCGCGAATACATCTAAGCGCACGCGCACGCGCGAACACGCAAACGCAAACATACAGAACATCTGCGCAAAACATACACACACACACAAACACTAACAAAGCACACCCAACAAACAACAAACAACACACAACAATCACGCCGAAAAATAAACCCAAAAAATACAAAACTGTCCCGTCCCTGAGCGGTCATCTCAGCGTTGCGAGCTGAGGTCAGCGCCACCACCTCCACCCAGCTGGTCTTGCGCAGCACGGTGCTTGGCAACGCCTGCAGGGAAGCCACAGAACAAATAGGTCCTTTCCAAAGTGTATTTTTGTGGATTTTGGGCTGAATAAGGTTTGCCTCGCAACCGTGTCCAAGTTGAGATTTTGCTTTGGAGGCTCAGATCATCGCAGGTTCCAATTCAAGGACAACTAGAATAACAACCTTGATGCCCAGTTCTGCATCATCCAGTGTGGGCTGGCTGGTCAAGAACGCGGAAGCTTGGTTAGTGCAATGTCGCGCAACGTCACAGCGAAGCATTCAGCTCGAGAACTACAGATATGAGATGACGAACGAAAACACAGTATCACGAGCTTTTCGTTGTGGCCAGAACAACAATCCAAGATTCGAACCTTCGAGCAAGTGGGGGAGCAGGACAGAATGTCTTCTAGGTCCTCGAATCAGGAGAATATGAAGGAGACGACGAACATTTTGGGTTGAGATGAAGGAAACGGGGGAAGAGACAGCGTGGGCCCTCGAAGAGCATGATGCGTTCGCAGCCAGAAAGGTGTCCGGGCGAAGTTTGGACACGCGAAGCGCAAAAAGGGCGGTCGCCGACGAGGTGGGTCGAAACCCTTCAGAAGGGAAGGCCGACAATGTTCCCAACGATCGGGCATATTTGGGTAAGAAAGCGGACAAGGCTGGGCTAAAGCGGAAATACAAATACCCGCAGGTACGGCAGGAAGGACAAAGAAAAAGGAAGGTCCAAAACATTTGCCGCCGATCTCGCAGCTGGCTGCTGATCTCGCCTATGCCCTGAAAAGAGGTGGTAGTCTTAAGCCATGAAGAGACCTGCCAAACACATACGGCGATCGTATGGCGATGATCAGACACTGACCCAGATGATTCCTGCCAGATGATGCAACTTACGCGCAGGACCTTTCAGCTACAACCAACCATGGCCTGCTCGGTATCTAACGACGCCGGTCATCAACGCGCACAGAATCCGATATGCAATCCTGCATAATCCTGGACAGTGGATGCACCAGGTCGGCCATGGATCGAACCCAGAAAACACCTCATCTCCTATAACTCCATGCCGGCAAACACCAAGTTCATTTTTTCCCAAAGGACGTGCCTCAATGTCTTTACCTGGCTCTCTTTACTTTGCTTGTCTTGTTTGAGTCGTCCGTAACTCGAAAGTTTATCATCAAACTTCCTTTGATTATAGCACTTCTATTCTATCCCAGTCCATTCCGTTCATCCATCTGCATGTTCCTGATTGAAACATGATTTGCGGCGAATCTTTTCTAAACAGGTAGCTAGATTGCCAGATTCTGCAAGGTAGCTGGAAAGCAGACTTTACAGAGAAATCGATAGCTGGAAAGATCGATGCATAAACAAGCATAAATGATCGATAGATAGACAGGTCATGTCAGCTTTGACTTGGCTTGACTAGATCGTTAACCACACATGCAAACGGATGGACGGATGGACAAAGAAATGGACAGGATGGATAAACATTCGGATGCTCGGGGCTTAAAAAAACACATGATTGACCCAAGCACCTATTGTTGGCAAAACACAAGTATCATCGATGTCAGCCCTTCTGCCTCCGCCTTGGTCCAACTGTAGCGTCCTCAGTGCTACGAGCTTGTCTTTCAGCTTTGCACACCTTGAACTGGTTGACAAAACACACACACACACACCTCAAGGGGCCATAAATTGACACTCCCATAGAAGGCAGCCATAGTCCTGCGAGGGCCACACGATCCCCAAGTTTGGATGTATTGGCTCGACACTAAGTGCAATGATGTTCAATCCTTGCCACTGATGCTTGTGCCTAGCCATACTTAAAAGCAACAACTCTCCTCAGCTTTGCAAATTACAAGGCGCTGAATCAAGCCGCCAACCGGTTTGAACATCCAACGGGGTATTGATAAATCTTGCAGTAAGGGCACCCTTTGGTGAACATTGTGCAGATGTAGGTTGTGCAGTAATCCCACCGCTTGGCGGCATCCAAACCCACCATTTTTTTTGATTGTTTGACTGATTTGTCCCACGCCCTGGTCAATTGAAAACCGGAACCGTCCAATCCAAAGGATCAAAGGCTCCGACCGTCCAGGTCGAAGAGCAGCGCGGGCACTCCCAAGGAGGCCGCTTCCAGCAGGTGCGGCAGCCTCGATGCGAGCTGTTGGAAACCGGCGGCTGAATGAAGCCGCTGCCATGGTTGAAACTCCGCCTGTAACAGCGGGCCATGTTCCAATGGGTTTCCTTACTCGGAAACCCAATGATGGTTCCTTAGATTCCCTATGCAGGCAGTGGTGAGAACCCACCCTCATTGAGGGGTTCCTTGTCTATGGCATAAATGCCCTACCATCTGAGGGAAAGAAGGCCTATGAGACAGGCTTGGGGCAAACGCACACTCTTTACGCACAGGCCGTTGCCATCCTCGGACTTAGTTGGCAACTCTGCATCGCGGATGCCCCGCTGCTCATGGCAAAGCTTGCGAATCCCGGGATGTTTGGCCCACCTCGCGCTGCACCCTTGCGGAAGCCACCCCCTACCCAGAACCCGGTATACAAATACTGGCATTGTCTAACCTCCAGGATGTCCCCGTTCCCAAGCTGGGCACTCCGCTGATCATCCACCAGCCCGCAGGCGCCAATATTTCTGGCTAGCGCCTTGAATCAACCATGGCACGGGACAAGTTTTGTTTACCTCGGGGAACTCTGCGCACAGAGGGGGCCCAAACGTTTTCCAACAAGCTCTAAACGGACAGCCCTGGGACTAATGCTGGATAGCTCGCTGCATGGCTGAGTAGCTGTGTGACCCTCTCTCTGTCTTTTGCTGGAACTTGACACATTTGCGCCTAGCACGAGGCTCTGAATAGGCTTGAGCTACTGCAACACCTCGAATGCACCTCAAACTTCTACTTTCGGTGTGAATTGCGCTGAGCTCGGCGCGCCCTTGGACAGCCCAGAAGGCGGCGCGGCAAGGTGGAGAGTTGTAACCTCGGCAAAAAGTGGGGCGATGTTCCCCAAATGCGGATCGCCGCTGCCTATTCTATTTGTTCGGTCTTCCACACAAAAAGGGAGCATGGAATTGCAACTGGAATGGCAGGGGTCACTGGTTTGTAGGCACATGGCAAGTTCCGTTTCAGTTCAAGCCAACCTCCTGGAGACTTGGGGCAAGCTGGTAGGTTCGTCACATGCTTTCATACGCCGAGGGAAGCCAGCCGCACTATGGCAGGTAGACGTGACCTCAAACCACTTGGGGGGAAACGCAAGAAACCCTGGAGGAGATCAAAAAGCACTTACAACTCATGAAATGCAAATTCCACGGGCTTAGAGAACGCTGAAAAAACCGCAGTCACCAGATCCAAGGAAGCCTTTAGCTGTCTGTACACGTTCCGAGTTCCAATGGCCGCACGGGAGCCCGCTACCATTCCGTCTCTTTACCGAACGTGGACATGTAATTCTCTCGTATTAGAAATACGTATGTGTTGCATGTGTATTTGCAGTGCTCGGAATGGCTGATCTGCCGCATGGATCATTTGTCATCAGTTTTTGGGATGTTCAGCAGGGCAAACTTGCGGCAAGGGACAGAATACATGAGTGGTGCATTCCCAGGCTAATTACCGCAAGGAACTGATACGGAACCAGTACAGGGTGGACCCTGCGCATGCCAGCAAAACGGCTATCCTGGTAAGCTCGAGCAATGGGACAGGGTAGCAGCATGCTTATTATGTTCGATGACGTTGCTGAGCAACATGAGAAGACGCGTACTTCCCGCGCTCCGTGGTTGCCCTCTCTGTCCAAACGCACACACACACACACACACGCACAGGCACCACAAAACATGCCTTGCTGTGATTCCTAACCAGGTCAACATGAGGCATCCCAAAAGCAATCCCGTTGAGTATGTTGAGCCATTTCAACCACCCAAAGGAAGGCCCTTCTTGGTGGATTGGGAAGGCACAAGTGAGGTCTTTCAAAACCCGCCTATCCTAAAACAGCGAAAGGATACACGGCCAAGGCCGTGCTTCAGCCTTCAGCCGTTTTGGGTTGGGACCGTCAGCAAACCTGTACTGGGCAGGGGTGTCTAACAGAGTGGCTTGATCCCATCACGTTGGCTCATATAAGGCAAAGGCCAGGCCCGGAAAGCATCGCTGTAGAAATTGGTAGGTGACCTGGGCTCGAGCTCTGAAGTACGGCCAATGAGCAAACTTCAGTGAACCGACCCGGGTCATGCTTCAGTCAGCCAGGCCTGACCTATTGAGGTGACCGCCTTCTGGCCACTACTCGGTCGTGCAGTGAGGGCATGGATCTCGAAGTTCAGAGACCTGGCCCACACACTGCGTAAGCCCACAGCGGCCAAGGTCACCCTGGCTCGTTGTTTTGCAGCAGGCAGGCTTCTAAACCAGTTTTAGCGTGGTCAGACAAGGTATCAAGCCCAGTGTTGAATCTAGAAAAAGAGATGGAAGGACCAATGCAGTTCAACCACAAATATCAACGACATCATGATCCATGGCGGTTCATGGGCATCAAGTGCCCAAAACAACGCTAGTTGACAAAGGTTGTTGTGCAAAATGGATTGCTGATTCGGCACACCCTTGACATGGTGCCCATTGTCTTCACTCCGACACAGTTGCGCACACTGACCTGTGTAATTCTAGGCCGGGCTCAGCCAACCAAGTCGCACAGTGCAAAATGGAGCTATTCAACTTCAGCGCCTCACCAAGCCATGCTCACGCGTCCCGAAGCCGACCCGAGCGTCCGGAGAAGAAACACTTTGTTGCATTTGTTTTTGTTTGGGACGCTCAAGCAATTGGCTAAAGCCACAGGGCAACCACCACTTTGGGGTTTCCCTTCTTTGGAGCCAAGCCAACTGCGTCAACCTGCCTCAAAGTTGTGAGCGCCTCCAATGATCCCTGAACTGGAGACGCCATGATGGCAGCCTGCCAGGGCTGGCAAAGGTCTGTCAAGTGCCCCTCGAGAGAGAGCGAGAGACGGGCGGTCCCCCAATTTCATTTGGCCTCCCAAACGGAAGTTGAGCGCATCAAACGATCAATCCCCACCCAATTCCAAGGTGGCTGATTGCTGGCACAGCTCTTAGGCCACACAGCAAGCAGCTCTTAGGCCTGTGCGTGTCATTAACTCCTCCCAAAGCGCACGGCCTCAGAGTTGAAAAACTGCTCCCGGGCGGCAGCGTTGCTGTGCGCGTAGCCTAGGTTCTGGCCAGATCCCCAATTCTCAGGGCACGCCCAAACCTGGCACACTCCGTAAAAGCAAACTAACAAGCAGTATCATTCAACAAGCTTCACCAAGAAATCGCAACATATCTCCTAACAACTTCATGTGTCAGCGTGCTTTGCTCCAGGTGAGCTCGTTAATGTTGAGAGTCGAGAGTAGGAAATACAAACATTTGCTCACAAAAGGATGTCCAAATCTGAACATGAAAAAAGGGCAGGACATACTTCGGAAAAACAACCAACTTATTTTCAGTGGACCTGGCAATGCTAGAGCAACACTAGGTCAATACCCGTAGCACACACACACACATCCTACGCACGCAAAACCAACTGAGGCCCCAAACGGCCAATTTTTTTGTGACACCCTGTACTAAAATTTACTATAAAGTACTGGGCTAGCCCCGAAAGAAATACTTTTTAATACTCAACCAATTCTAAGCCAGTACTCAGCAGTTTTACATGTTCTGTAGTTACTGGAAACTGTAGCTGTTCCTAGAGTGAACAAGGGTACCCTGATTGGAGTCATCAAACCCTAAATCTTTATTACTCTTCCCCTAATTTGTTTGAGCGGGAGCCGAAAACTTTGCTAGTCACTACCCCATACTACAACAAATGGCAAAATGGTGTCGCTCTCAGAAGAAGTGACCGCATAGATCTGTGGGTGGGTGTTTTTGGAACCTATCGTGGGAGACAAGTGTGACAATCCAGGCCGACTGTACACGTCAAGGGGGGGGCACGAATATTTGCAACAAGGTCGAATGAAGAGACCTGAGCCATGGCCATAGTCTGAGTGTCCAACATATTCGAAAGCTTTCGTTCACGTCGCTGGAGACCTGTCCGGTCCTTGGCGAGTGTCGCCGCTTTTCAGAAAGAAAAGCGTGGTGATCCCCTAAACCTGGTTGGGTGGAATAACCATGGGACGCCAAAAAACCACAATGAAAACATGGGTCTGGGCTGCGTGCGTTGAGACAGAAAGAAATGGCGCAGTGGCGCATGAAGGCAAAAACTGACCGCAGTGAAGGGAAAACTATATATATATAGATATTTACTATGTTTTTAAGAAGAACAAAAGCATACAGTGTGTGGAAAGCGTCTAAGAAGCGTTTCGACAAAATCACTGCGCCCCTGGCCATTGCCTGAAAAACCCACCGAAATTGGAAACGAAAGCTAAGCACTAGTCCGGAGACCGAAGCGTGCCAGGCTTCACGAGATAGAATTTGGCTCATTGCCAGGCCATCCCCCAACCCCACAAAGAATCAATGGGCACTTCAACTGTACCCTGCACAGGAGCAATGCACATTGATTAGTTGTTTTTTCTGTCGTTGCTTTTAATGTGGCCTCCTTCGTGTTGCCTTTAAAACAACACAAACAAAACAATACAACTGGAAAAACAAATGGCACTTCAGCTACAGTGCTCTTGACCTTTTTGCGTTCTCCGCAGCTTGCCTACTCCTTGCTCGCATTTGTGCGGAAAGAAGCTGGCCAACGCTGATCAAGCCCATGACCGCTGGTGCAGGAATGCTCAAACCTCCCTGCACAACAAAGTGCATACGGTGTGCTCGGGGCACATGTAATGTATCTATGGGTTGGTAACTCTGGTTCCGCTTGATTGAGGTTATCGCAAACCTTTGCCAAAAGGTTGTCATTTTGTACCGCTGCCGGTCCTTGCCACAAATAACCAAGCCCTCACCAACACATCTGACAACTTGAGCATATTCAACAACAGAAATAAGGCATCCCAAGTAAAGGATCTACATCGGACAGGTGAAACCAGGCCGTGCGTGTGTGGATTTGGTGAGCTCGGCGCGTTGCCTGAAACTCGCCCGTCGGAACAGCATGCACAAGGCCACTCAGGTGAAATTAAGCCTTGCCCTGAAAGCGCGAAGCAACAGGAGGCATCGCGAGGCACTTCAGCACTGCTTCAGCCACTGAGCCGTTTCTGTCTCCAGCAGCCGCACTGCCGAGAATTGCAGTAAGCTCAGGTTGGTGGACCTGCGCTCATTAAGAAGGACGCGGCGGCAAAAGTTCTCAACAAGCTGGCAAACATGTGCTTTGCTTGCTTTGGTGAGCACAATGTCTGGCTCTGTATGGTTTTCAACACCTGAGCCCCTGCACCAATCAAAACAGCTTCTGAACATCCATTTAGTTGTCCATATTGAGAACACTTGCCACAGGTGAAAAGAATGCACCTGCTTTGGACACCGTAGCAGCCACTGAGACTGACAGCGACGAGTGCATTCAAAATGCCGTGGGAAAGTCACCGACCATATGCATACCCAGGTCTATGAAACACTTCCCGTGCACATTGGCACGCCTGCAATCTACGTCTGTGCCCTCCATCACTGCCACCAGCGGGCAAGAAGTCGGGCTGAGTCGGGCTGAGTCACATTGCCAAGTACTCCTCTCGATCACCTGGCCCGGTGGACCGGTGGACCCTTCGGCTCCGCAAGCTTCCAAAAAGCCCCCGTGCTATGGATGACTTGACCCAACGGCCACTCAAATCGGCAAACGGGCTGGCAGAAAGCACTGGGAATGCCTGAGGAACTTGGTCTTTCAAATGATCTCTTGGTGCTATGCTACATACTGGAAGCATTGTTGAATTTCTGACTTAGGGAATCAATCCTGGGTGCTAGTGCACCCCAGGCCGAATGCGGCTCGGCAGAAAACCCTGCAACCGTGTCCGTCTCCAAATCTGTTCCAGCCTGCGTTACGCTTCACGGTGTTCACATCTGGCAGGGCCGTGCCGGTCATGACATGTGCTGACAAGGTGTCCACAAGTCGCGCCTCGTTCAAGCCTGTGGATCTTGGACATCATGCTCTCCTGAACTTTGATGACCTTCCTGGCCAAACATGGCAACTGCGTGATATAAGCTGTTTACATGAGGACGTATCAAGTTCAGGCATCTCTGCCAGCACCCCACACACTGGGTACTGCAACCCAAACACAATGCACACCAGTAAGTTCATAGTTCACATCCGCAACGACAAAACCGTCGTTCTGACAGCACGCTTGAAAGTTCGTGAACAGATATGGTAAGTCAGGCCATGGGCTGTGACAGCGGGAGCATGCAAGTCAGCAGTGTTCAAAACTCCTTGGCTTTGAATTTTGGTTCCACCGAGGTACCAGAGGCTTATGTGCCTTACCAGGGAGTTGAACCACCAATTTGGCTATATAGGGGTGTGGGCCGCCACGATTGAGTGACACCAAAACTGTGGCAATGAGAGGGCGTTCCACCTGTACCAGGCAACATGTCGTCCCGAGCGTAGAACTCAAAAGGAGGGCCTATAGGTGACTCTCAAAGCCCGAAAAAAGCACTCATTTGCCGTCCAAGCCGCATTAGATCCAGGCTCTTGGCAGTGCCTCCCATTGCAAACGGCGAGGCTATGGCACATTTGGCACACACACACACAAACACACACACACACACACAAAAAAAAACACACACACACACACACACCCACCCACCCACCCGCCCACCCACCCACGCACGCACGCACGCACGCAAGCACGCACGCACGCAAGCATGCGCGCGCACACGCACAGGCACAGGCACACACGCAGGCGCGCACGCAAGACCCCCCGCACGCCCCCGCACGCACACACACACGCCCATGCCCGCACGCCCGCACCCCCACACACACACACATGCGAAAACACACACACACACACAAACACACACACACACACAAACACAAAAACAAAAACACAAACACACAAACACACAAAACACAAACACGGAAACACACACAAACACACACAAACACACACAAACACACAGACACACAGACACACAGACACACACAAACACACAGACACACAAACACACACAAGCACACAAACACACAAACACACAAACACACAAACACACAAATACACAAACACGCAAATACACAAACACACAAATACACAAACACACACACAAACACACAAACACACAAACACACAAATACACAAATACACAAATACACAAATACACAAACACACAAACACACAAACACACACACACACACACACACACACACACACACACACGCACACACGCACACGCACACGCACACACGCACACACGCACACACGCACACACGCACACACGCACACACGCACACACGCACACACGCACACACGCACACACGCACACACGCACACACGCACACACGCACACACGCACACACGCACACACGCACACACGCACACACACACACGCACACTCACACGCTCACACGCTCACACGCTCACACGCTCACACGCTCACACGCTCACACGCTCACACGCTCACACGCTCACACGCTCACACGCTCACACGCTCACGCACACGCACACGCACACCACACGCACACGCACACGCACACGCACACGCACACCCACACACACACACACACACACACCCGCACACACACACACACACACACACACACACACACACACACACACACACACACGCACACGCGCACGCACGCACGCGCACGCGCACGCGCACGCGCACACGCACACGCACATGCACACGCACACGCACACGCACACGCACACGCACACGCACACGCACACGGACACGGACACGCACACGCACAGCATACACACACACACTGACAAACAATTAGACAAGCAAGCAAGCAAGCAAGCAAGCAAACAATCAAACAAGCAAGTAAGCAAACAAACCTACCAACACGCAAACAAACAAACAAACAAGCAAGCAAACAAACAAACCAACAAACACACACACACAAACAAGCAAGCAAGCAAGCAAGCAAGCAAGCAAGCAAGCAAACAAACAAGCAAGCAAGCTATCAAACAAACAAACACACAAAACACCCACCCACCAAAAGAGTTCAAGTTTTAAAGTTGAAAGTTTCAAGTCCAATCTAAAACAGCCTTCAAAGCGAACCTGCTTCTCTCAATCCGGCACTTTGGGTCGTCTGCTGCGTGCGCATTGGCGGGCCTTGAAGCTTCGCTACACCCACCACCAATTGTTCTGCGCTGAGCCCGCCAGAGCGGTCCTTGGCATCCTCCTGCAGCATGGCACGGGAGGAATGCCTATGAGTACTGGAGAACCTATCAAAATGGCTGGTAGACGCATTGCCAGAATTATCTGATGCCCGAAATCAACGTTCCAAGCTGCATGGCACGGCAATTGCTGACGCTTGTTAGCAAGTTGCTCACACTAGTTCTTTGGCCCCGGTCACCAAATACAGACGACAAAAAGGTTTAGCCGTGAACGTGGGCAAGTTGGGGCAAGGGGTGCCCCTGAAAAAGCATTGCAGGTCTCTTCTTTTGCTTTGGGCGGGGCGGGGGTCCAAAGATTATCCTTTCTGTCCTGCAGCAACTCCCAGCACTCGCCCACATCACGGATGTCCTGACACACTGACATCCGTGAGGCTTCCTTTCAGAGGCTGCCAACTTACATTCTCCCCGCTATGCAGGCCTAGTCCTTTGATCGCCGTCACCACTAGTTCTACTACCAAAGGGCTCCCAAATTGCCATGGGTTGACAGTCCGTTCTCCCATTTCAATGCATGCACCCTATTAGCAAATATGGTTCTCCGCAATGCCCAATGCTAGAAGCTAGAGTAAGGCAAACCTACTGAGCCAATGCTAAACTAACAAATGCCCCGCTGACCCCAGCCTCGTTTGTACCTCCGAAACAAACCCGGTCTTGATTGAACAAACATGTTTGCATCCAAACGTCAATGGCAAATGTCGATTGCCACCAATAGTTTCGAGTCTATCGGCACAAATGGCGATTGAGCCATGCGTTTAAGAGTCCTTGTGTTAGATGGGAAGGGCAAATCCCCGTGCCCATGTCATGGAGATGCTGTTTGGTCTGTGCCCCAAGTATGTGACCTTGAATAACCTTTCTATATATATATATATTTGCCTACTGAGTTGGTGCCCCAGCTAGCTTTAGGCCTATGTGGTTGGGACACCTCGTAGCAAAGTCAGGCAGAACTGCCCTGCAAAAGTTCGATCTGCAGCTCAAGCTTCGAGCTCCATTGCTCCCAGCCAAGCTTTGAGCTCGTTGTCTTTGAGGATTTCCTGGCACAGGCTAAGGTCGCGGCAGGATGTTTTTGATTCACCACCTTGGTGGACTTTGTTTGCATCGGGATTTATGTCCAGTCCAGCCATACTTGAGGCTGCTCACGCAGCAGCTTTGCACGAAAGCTGCGGCAGTGACAAGTTAAGCGACTCACCAATTTTTGGATATCGTTGTGAGGGTAAGGTAATCCTTGGAGTTGGTCTAACACGAAACCAATGCGAAGCCAACCTTTAAGGAAACCCATGCTCAACTACACACGTGGGATGTTGCCACACCACTCAATGCCAACAACAATCTGAAGCCACTGTTAAGCACTACCATGCGGAGTGTGTGTGTGTGTTGAATGCCTTCACGTAGTTTTAATGATTCATCGCCAACTCGCATTGGCCCATGCAAAGCAACAAGCCCTGAAGCGCACCTGGAACTCCTGCAAGTCGATCTTACCGTCTTCAGAGGTGTCAGCCTCTGACAAGCAATGCATCGCTCCAAAAGGTCGCTGCATGTCGAGATGCCGTTGGCTGCCATGGCCAAGTAATGCCCGGCCTCATCAAACAGAAGCTGCATCTTTTTGATGTGATTCCGCATTGCTTTCTGCTTCGTGCGCATCATGATCGTGTCCTCAGGCACTAACTTGTAGGTCGCAAACACAAGACCAGTCTGAAGCGGATGGTTTGTTGTCCTCGTCTCGCCCCACCCGGAACATCCAGCAAGGCAGCAGCATTGGCGACATTCAGGTAGAAAGCATCCGTCGTAGCCAAGGGGGTTCGCAAGCCGTCAGTGAAGGAACTTGCTTGCAATTTGCTGTGTCCTTCAACGAAGGTCCAGTAAGAAGCCTTGCCCCCGTCCACCTTCCACTCGAAAAGTCATTGTGACTGGACGCCGCTACTCCCATGTCAAGACCAGACAAATGGTTGTGAATGGCTGCCCTTTGTGAAACACTACGGTCCTCTTAAACAGGTTTGCTGCGCACGGCTAGGTTTGTTCGCTTCTACTTTGTTGTTGTTGGTGGTGGTGGTGCACGGCTTTCTCGCGTCCTCATTGCAACTTCTCATCACTGTCAACAGCTTTCCTTGATTAAACCCACTCGTATCCGCTGGCTGCCTTCAGCAAAATCATTCAACCTCTTCTGGGTGCGCTTGACCGCAAGAAGGCTCAGGTGACCAGACTCTAATTGACTGCTGGCACTCCAAAGCATGGCCAAGGTGCATCGTAGGACGCCACCTTGAAGGTCTCCTGCATCAACACGCCTTAGAACCGACCGATCCGTGTGTATCGTGCGGCAGCCCCCGAGCGAACTGCGCACGGATGTGGGGCCGGCCGAGCCGACCCCGCCGCCCGTTCAAGGCCGAACAACCATGGAAACATGGAGCCGGCCGCAACCACCACCAACCAGCCAACCAACCGAACCACCAACCAGCCAACCAACGGCCGCACCGCAGCAGCAGCCAAAGAGGCAGCCCGTCGCGGGAGCCAGAAGGGCAACAAAGTGACCGAGGCCCGGAGGCTACTCACGAAATCTATCGAATCAGGCTCGTGAACAGCACGCCAAATGGCCTTTGGACAACAACAAACCAAGAATGCACGTCATTCATGTCAACTGCCTGTCCCTTCACCACCCAGCCAAAGCGAGCCGACAGGAACTCACCTGGACGCGGGGGAATGGGGATATTAGCCGGTCTGTAAGGACCAAGCCATGCCCAGCTCCTCATGACAACCGGGCCAAAAACAACCACGCAAAACATGTGCTCGGCCGACCGAGGTAGCAGGCGAGAAAAACGCGCCCGTGCAAATCGTACGGCCCTCAGCGCAAGAAGCAGCAAACTTGCGAGTGGCCTTCCACCCCACCTTGCCACATGATGATGCTCACAGCATCATGGTGATGGCAAAGGCAGCATCCGGACTCATACCACAGCCACGAATCATCTTGCGACCGTGTAATGAAACTCAGCATCATCCTGATGTTGACAGCATCATGCCCGCCACCACTCCCACAAACCACAACGCGGCATCGCAGCGATTGTAGCGGCATCATGACGTGGTTGACAACATCATGATGATCCACCAGCCACGAACCATCACGCGCGACAGTTAGAGCAGCATTTCTTCTGTGCACTTTTTTGCGTCTGCTCATGCGGTGAAATAAGGCTGGCTACGGATGCTTAAGGGGAGTCCCGGGCACTAGGACTTTGCAAGCTGTTTTTTGCGGAGGCCAGCTTCCTCACACGCACGCCGTTTTTGCCGAGGGCATCGTCCTCACATGCACACTGCCGCTACCAGGCCGGCAGCCGCAAGCGTCAGGGGAAGCGGGGCATGCAGCGAGAAGGTCGCTCAAGTCCAGGCAAGGCCCATCAAGGTTGCTCAAGCCGGGGGAAGGCAAGGAAGTGAGGCTGTCAGCAAAGGCTAGGGAAGCTGCAGCGCACAACAAGCCGGCCACCGGTGGACATAAGCACTTCGAAGGGCAGGGCGAAGAGCCTCAGGCGCAGCCCGGGCTCGGGCACGCACAAGGAGACGGAGAAAACAGGCAGCATCTGACCCCCAACGGCCCCCGACCTTGACCCCAAGCACAACAAGGCAGCAGCGGGCGCTGGCCAGCAGCAACAACGTCCGAATCGGTTCAACAGCATCGTGATACTGCAGACAGCATCATGATGCTGCGGCCAGCATCATGCTGATGCGAGAACCACGATTCCCCAAACAGCACCCGCCCTAGCACCCTGCCATCCACATGCGCCCGCACCGTCACCAACGCCCCAAAACAGCAGCCCCAACAGCACCCCAACGCAGCACCCGCGCCAGCTCCGGACACGTCCTCAACCGAACAGCACCCAAAACCGCACCTGCGCCGCCCCCTAGCTCCCAGCGGCCGATCTTGCAACACAGTTTCCCCTCTCCGGTAGAAGTTAGAACCCCTATGGTTTCCAGTTATCTGGGAAATACGCCCACGCGGTCAGCAGCACCTCCAACAGCAACCCAAAACAGCACCACCCCAAACTGCATGCCCCCTGGCACCCGCCGGCAATCTCCAGAAAATTGCGCCCACAACGTCAGCAGAACAGCACCCCAAACTGAATGCCCACCGATGTCCATCAGCGCCTTAAACAGCACAGGCACCAGCACCCTAATCAGCAAGGCAAACTGCATGCCCCCTAGCACCCGGCCGTCAGTTTCGCAAAGCGGCACCTCCACCAGCACCCGAAACTGCATGCCCCCTAGCACTTGGCCATCAATCTCGCGAAACAGCCGGCCGTCAATCTCGCAAACCAGCACCCCAAACTGCGTGCCCCCTAGCACCCGGCCATCAATCTCGCAAAACAGCACCTCCACCAATGCCCCAAACTGCATGCCCCCTAGCACCCGGCCGTCAATCTCGCAAAACAGCACCTCCACCAATGCCCCAAACTGCATGCCCCCTAGCACCCGGCCCGTCGTCGCAAAGCGGCACCTCCACCAGCACTCCAAACTGCATGCCCCCTAGCACCCGGCCGTCAAGCTCGCAAAACAGCACCTCCACCAGCACCCCAAAAACTGCATGCCCCCCTGCACCCGGCCCTCAATCTCGCAAATCACTTTCCCTTCTTCATTAGAAGTTAGAACCCCCATAGCTTTCAGCTATCTGGGGAACAAAGGCGGACCCTATGTCAAACAGGCCCACCCAGCCTGAAGTACATATGAAGGGAGACAAGAGGAGACGAAGGGAGACAATAAATGATGGCGACAAAGGACATCCATGCCCAAGCATATTTTCCTACGATCCGCTCAGTGGAATGCTTCGTACTTGGGCTTGCCCATGCAACAGAGCGCATGCTAAGTTTTGCGAACCCTGGGCCCAAATTCCTAGGTGTGACAAAGGCCGGATTCCCCAATGGTGGAAACTGATCGCAAGGGTCCTATCATAGATTTGTTTGGTTCGGCATGCCGCAGGCCCAAGCCACGCCAACGCGCCAAAGGATCAAAGCCCAGAGTGCAATCCAGGCACCGTTGATGACACCAATCACTGCGAAGCCCATAGTCACCTTGTGGACGAGGAAGAATATCATAAACCATTCGGTGACCTTAGCAAGCACGATGCACACTTCCCGACTCTCTCGACTAAAAATGCAAGAAAATGGTCAGGCCAACCAGCCATGTCCAATCCTCCAGTACAGAAATCAGTGCGTGTTCGTCAAGACTCCTGTGACAGTCAGGAGCTCTCCCAGCATGCCACGTGCATGTAAGTATGAAAGGACGGTATACAATGCCAAGTTCTTGTGCCAATGAAACGACGCATAAGCCATGGTTGCGAACAAGCACAAAAATAAGCCATCCCAACGGCCCAACGACTTTATCACTTTACAGGGACGTCCCCCTGGTTTGGGCCCTGGCTTCACAACAAATGTCCCTTAACCTTCTTTTGCACACGGCGCCAAAATCCCATGCGCAATACCAAGAAGCGTTCTCCGTGAGCGCGCGGCAAACAGGAGGCCAGTTGGCCTAAGCTGGAGAACAAGCTTGAGCTGCGCACCTCGACATCAACCTAATATGCAAACAATATCAATGTTTCCTTTGTGTCTGTTCGCACGGTATACTCAAATGCAGTGATAGTACGGCATAGTGAGGACTCTCACAAAGCTTTCATGTGTTTGCACACTTGGATCAACACTCCCAACGAGCCACCTTCGTGCCTACACTGCGGTCAAGTCGCCAGTGTGATCTCGAACATGGTCAGCAGCGCCCGGGAAAAAGTACCAAAATACACATAGACCTTGGCTTGACTGCCCAAACCCAGTTGAACGAGAAAAAACAGCACCATTGTGTGTGTGCTTGGTATTTACAGGAAATACCCCCCTCCAAAACGAGACAAAAGGGGCTACTGTCAGACAGTGATCGTCAAAGGCAAACTCTGCAGAAATTCAAAGTTGAGGCGATGTTTACTTCTTGGCATGCAGGCAGCGACTAAAGGCATGACTTTTTGCTCTGGCACCAGCACTCGCCTGCACACGGAACCCGAGCGGGCACCATGTATCATGTTTAGCGATGTGCATTAGAATGCCAGCTACGGCCCCCCTTGCGTCACAACAAGAACCGGTTCCCAGATCGTGCGAATGTGGCAGAATACGCAAATGTCCAGCATGGGCTTGTCAAATAGGAGAACCCCCACAATGGGTGGCTTCTCCTCGACCTCCTTGAGAAACAGCCCCGAACCAGGCCTGCCATGCCGATCCAAGTGGCCAACTCTTGGCGGTCTTTGAGCAATTGGCTCTCCAAGTTGGCCGCGTTGAAGTAAAAACCGTAAAGGATTTGGTTCAAGACCTGGGTGCTGTGTGCCGGGAAGGGCCGCCAGGGGACTGCCCCAAAACATTGGTGCCACTAGGAACCAAGTACAAGTAGCCATCTTCTCCAACAGAACCTAACATTCAGCGTGAATTTGACAGAGGGCTCACAGAACCTTACCGCTTGCCGACATCTAATTGCACCATCACGCCCGACGTCTGAGCCGTGGACCAATGCAAAAAGCATCTGCACGATGAAGAGCAGAGCTGCAGTCCAGGCCAGAATTCCGAAGCTGCTTCGGATGGCGGTGGACATCAAATACAAGGAGTCGAACCTGGGCCAGCGTCGGCTTTGCCTCCATTTGCTTTTGCCTCCGCCAATGCCAAACTGCACCCAAATTAACAATATCATCCGGTTTGCCCAAAACGATGTTGAACAATCGCAGGATTGCACCGGCCCTCCAAACAGCCAGAATCCCAAACTCAGCTCTCTCCAGATTTCCCCTCCATCTCCCTCCACCCCGATGTGCCCGGGGGCTGCTGGATTCGGCGTACCAGCCGCAGCAGCCGAAAAAGGCGGATGAGCCGTGCCAAACGCAGCACCTTGGAAAAGAGATGGCTCCAAACGAGATAGCCATTTTTCCTTTGAGGCGTGTCTCCCCTTAGATGAATACATGGAATTGAAAGGAAAGGGCTTGAACAATCAACCTATGAACCAATGCATGAACTGCACGCGTTGCAATGCAATGCGATGCAATGCAACGCAAATGCAATGCAAAGCAAAGCGATGCAACGCAAACAAAATGAACATGCATGCATAAATCCATGAATGCATTCATGCACGACTGCATTCATGAATGAACGAACGGATGAAAAACAAGCGAACAAATGAACCAACAAACAAAATAAATTGCAACACCAATCTTGTACTGCCCCTGTTGGTATAAACTACGTGATGTAAGCCACTGCAAAGGGGACCCCAATCCTAATCCACATCCCCTGCGCTATGACAACGCATGGCAGGTATGGTAACGGAAGTCATAGTATGGGGGCGTACTTTCCGGATTTGCACAGCCCAGCCTGAGAGTTGAGCGGCAACTCCTCCACCGCCTTGCTGATGAGCCTCGTAGGCCAGAAACATGTGCGATTGCGTTGAGGTCCAGGGGCAAAATTGGTATGAATCACTTGGTCAGGGACCCTTCGAAGGGAAACCTCCATAAATATGTTGGGCGGCTTGACAATGTCCAATGGGGTGCTTTGCAGAAATGTTCAAACAAAGGGCCGAGTGTTGGTTCACAGCAGTCGCCCGGGGGGGGGGGGGGGGCTTGAAGGTCGGCCCGCCACAAGGCAAATAAAAGTACCAGTCAGTAGGCCAAGGAGGTCTCTTATTTGCAAGGCGAAGGCGGGGAAACCTGAGCAGCCACAAACACCTCGTCAAGATTGCGGGAAAGAAAGGAACATACGCAACTCAAAGAAGATTGCTGAAGAAGTTGTCAAAGCTGCCTGGAGACGGCTGGCATGATGCATGGCAGTGGATTCAAGGAATGGGCAGGTCACGCAAGTTGCCCCAAGTGTTCATGACTCAATTACATGCACCGCCGGGGGTGGCCTGAAGCACGGGCATGGCAGTGTAGACCCCAAGCATGATCCAGGTTACTTGTTTGGCAACTCGTTGCCAAAACTGCTGGCTTGGCAATGCCAGTGCTCGAATGGCCCGAGCTGGCCCAACTGAAACGCAGCTGCAGTCACTGGGGCCGGGCCCGAGCCATCGCCCAAACTTTCTGAGCCATCGGCCAAACCACCACGATCGTCTTAGCCGCGCAGGTGTTAATCGCCACTGAACATATGTAGAACATGGCACACTCTAGCTTCATGTTTGTGCCTGCTGTTTTGTTACCCGACCTTCAAGTGACATGCACTAGCAATGAGCAGGCCACCCACAGACACAGACACAGACACAGACACAGACACAGACACAGACACAGACACAAACACAGACACAGACACAGACACAGACACACACAGACACACACAGACACACACAGACACACACAGACACACACACAGACACACACAGACACACACAGACACACACAGACACACACAGACACACACAGACACACACAGACACACACAGACACACACAGACACACACAGACACACACAGACACACACAGACACACACAGACACACACAGACACACACAGACACACACAGACACACACAGACACACACAGACACACACAGACACACACAGACACACACAGACACACACACACACACAGACACACACAGACACACACAGACACACACAGACACACACAGACACACACAGACACACACAGACACACACAGACACACACTGACACACACTGACACACACAGACACACACAGACACACACACAGACACACACACAGACACACACACAGACACACACACAGACACACACAGACACACACAGACACACACAGACACACACAGACACACACAGACACACACACACACACACACACACACACACACACACACACACACACACACACACACACACACACACACACACACACACACACACACACACACACACACACACACACAGACACACACACACACACAGACACACACACACACACACACACTTTGCTGGGAAGAAACATGCCAAGCATCAGCACCAAAATGTAAGGCGATGAAATCGCAGCCAGTTGAAAGTGACAAATCAAGGCTTACAGCTCCCACGTCGCAAAGTATTTCAGCCGGAAAGGACTGCTGACTTGATTGGCGCAAATCTTGGTGTGCCTTTCGGTTTCTCAACAACCTAAGACGGTTTGCAAGCCCTTCAAACCCCCCAAGGAAGCAACGAATGGTCGAATACGCTTCAGACCGTGTCTATAGTGCTTAGTGGTGATTTGCGGGCAGCGGAACCCCAGCAACACGCTCAGGCCGCAGCAAGATCTAGCCAGTTCCACATTCCGCAGAAAAAGTGGCACTTGCCTAGGCATGCGCGCAACGCAACCTCATGGAGAAAGGGGGAGGGCGAATTCCATTGTTCGAGTTTCACCTGCGAAAGAGAAGAAGGAACTACAAATGGAGTTCCAGGGGTCAGCCCCCGCCCCCAATCCCATTTTCAACACGAGGGGGGTCAAAACAGACTCTTTAAAAATGCGCCACGCGCTGAAGGCAGGCCTGGCTCGCCATAAAAAGCGGGCAAATGTGAGGAAGGCCGTCACAAAACGTGGGCGTGTTTTGACACATTGCCATGTAGTGAAAGGGGGGAAGTAAACAAGTATATCCTCCTGTCCAGCATCCATATCCGCGCACAAGCTGCAGTGTGCTGCAGATTTCGTGAGCTAGGCTGACCCTCCGCCCCTCAGACAAGCTAAGCTAGGCACGAACAGAAAGGCGCAACACAACCTCTATGGTGAAGATCACCCCAAACACGTTCTCCAGCACAGTGAAGAACATGTCCTGAGTCGCCACAGTTGACTAAAACACAACCTTGGCAAAGGCTTTGGGCAATTCACCATGGAGCGTGGACGCTTCAAGCACCACTGAGAAAGCAGTGGGCTATGCCGGTGGTCATCCAAGCCATAGCAAAAAATGCACTCAACTACCATGACTTGCCCCTCCAGAAGCACATATTGATGTACTGCTGCTTGGCCCCATGATGCCAAATACCTGCGGCTTCATGTTGATGGCTAAAAACGGGTCATGCAATTCCCTTGGGTGAAAATAAAAGTGTCAGTGCACTCTAGACCCTGCAGAGATCGCGACTCTGTGAATATAATTCACGGGTTTGTTGCATCATGCCGTGCTCACGCAAAGACAAACATCATGATGCCACGATTGTCGTACATTTGGGAACTGGCCCGTCATTTTGTTGTTTGGGCCTGGCATTTCCTTGGCTACTCTGCAGATTCACATGGAACCCAGAAAACCAGCATTTGTGGAGGAGTGTTCTCTTGGTGGATCCCAATTGGGTTCCATGTTAGTAGGGGAGTATCAGTTTTGTGCAGCTGTACCTGTAGATTCGTACAGAACAACATCCTGGCTGTGTCGACGGTCCCGGGAGCCGTGACCATCTCAGCCATGTGAGAGCTTTCATGATACGGCAGACATTCATTTCCGCATCTTGTGTGAGTTGTAGCAACCCTGGCCTCAATACGCTGATTTCAGCTTCAAGAGTCTTTGGGATGGCGTTATGCACGGGTGCACGAATGATTGCCGATGGCAAGGCTTTTTCGCCTGACATCAGCGACATGGGAAGGCAGGTGCAAAATGCAACCAAGGAGCAGAATCTGACCAAATTTGTCCTAGCGATGCGGTAACTGCTCCAGGCTCCAGCTATGGAATTGTTGAGAGGCATGCTCTTGACTTCAAAAGGGCCATCCAATTTCAACCTCAAAGATCCAAGGGAACACATGCAAAGCCAAGGCAAAGCTCCTGGCAAATCGCCACCAATGTACGTCCATCCCCACTGCATGCCCGTGTTCTGCGCTTCCAGTGCAAACCTCGAAGCAAACGGCCGCGTCACACCAAGGGATCAAGATTTAGAGCATGACAACTTCCACAGGCTCCAAACAAACGCAACAACTAAGTTGTGCTTTACAACATTAATTCGTCATGTTTGCTGAGTTGAGGCATGCAAAGATTCAACACCTGCAATCAATACCCAGACAAATGTCAAAACGAATCTCAGCAATCGTTGGCCTGGCGTTCTGCTGGCCAGTGTGGCAAAACAGAGCGGAACGAGACCTTTTTCAGCGCTGCTCTGGCGCTTGGCAATGTTTCCAGCTCGACAGATCCGTGCTGCTTTCGCTTCTCATGGGCTCATGGTGCTTGCAACCAGTATCGAATTACATCATTGGTAGAAAGGGCGGGCCACCTAGGAAAGCACCTAAGGAGCTCCCCCCTCCGAGACAAAAACCTATGTACACCATTGAAATGATTTGAGCTAACTTGATACTTCCTGAGGATCCTCATGTGCCAGAAAGCTTAGGCAAAGGAGGCCCCCCCGCGCCCCGCACAAGTAGCCAAGTGACACAACAGCATTTGCGAAGATCATCAAGCAAATGCCGGCCTGCGAGCCAAGGCTTGATCTTGCTGAAACGGCAATGGGTTCTATACCATCAAACAGATCTCGCAAACAACCGCGAACAACAGTCAACACAGTCAAAGCTTCAAGACTCCAAAACGCATTGACACATGACATGTCATGCCTTTCTCTTTCACATAAACGCAACAGAGCGTCCTCAAAGCGCGGGTTTGCAAGGATCGAGTTGAAGGTCCACTTCCCCTTTTCGAACTCCTCGCTGCTGTTTTCCGCCGCGCTGAACTTGCGGTCCGCGAACAGGAACCTGCAACTGTCCAAGTGGAACAGTCGAACCGCTGGTTTTTGATTTGTTGGGCCTTGGCTAAGATGATGAAAACATCGCACCACATCTACCAACAACAAAATAAACAATTGCCAACTCAACAGGTAAGCAGGGCATGAGGAAATATGTATTTCTCTCTTTCTTCCTCTCTCTCTCTCTGTCTCTCCGTCTGCACTGGTGGCCCAGGAAACATGAAGAAACGCAGGGCCAGGCAGGTCAAGACTAGAATGCCTCGTGGCACTGGGCCAGTTCTGTCAGTCCATCCTGTGTCAAAATAGACACCAATAGTGCGCGGCAGGGCCCCCACCTGACAATAAAAGCCCGCGTGGCGCATGTTAGCGGAAACATCTGCGTTGTCACATGGAATCCGCCTTGGCATGCCGTTCGGCTGCAGTCAACCGGCCGAAGTTTCTCCCGCGTTGACATGCTTGCCTGGCAGCCCTCTGTTCAATATGCGCCAAGAACTCTAAAAAATGCCAATTACCAGGCCACTTTGGTGCCCTGGCGGCACAGGCAAAAGCTCTTGGGATCCTTGCGCAGGCACGTGACGTGGACATAGTTTCTGAAGACAAGGGTTGCTACTCGATAAAGAATGCCTGGCAAGGTGTCCGTCACCAGGGGCAGGTTGTTTTCACAGGGTTTGGGTTGACACGCCTGCCTGCCCAACCAGTTGCGTCCTGAGTTTCTTTGCGAGAGCAAGCGATGGTACGAGCAAGACGTCCAACAACATGATGCCCTTTTAGCAGTGCAGGGCATTGCTGTTGAACGCTTGTCCATCCATCTCAGTGGCGCAGTGCTTAGTTTGCAGAGTGTAATTGGAGTTTGTTGATGCTCATCCGACAGGGATGGGTTGCAGCGTGCGTGGCTGCTCCGCCGTCTCGGAACGTTGAGTGAGAGCAGTATTACTTGCTTTTGGTGGGCTTGCCAACTCTGCTCGAGCATCTTAACCCCACCGCAAATTTCCGGCCAAAGCATTCGACAGCATCGAACAGCGCCCGAGTGAGTGCGTGAGTGATTGCGTGGGTGCGTGAGTGATGGTGAATGAGTGACAGTGAGTGAGTGACAGTGTGCGAGTGTGACAGTGAGAGAGACAGTGAAAAAGTGACAGTGATAGCGACAGTGAGAGTGACAAAAAAAGAGCAACAGTGGACAGTGAGGGTGACAGTGAGAGTGTGACAGTGGGAGTGTGGCAGTGAGAGTGTGACAGTGAGAATGAGAATGAAAGAGTGAGTGAGAGAGAAAGAGAGAAGGAGCCAGGGAGCGAGGCAGCGAGGAAGCGAGGGAGAGAGTGAGGGAGTGAGGGAGTGAGGTAGCAAGGTAGCTAGGTAGCTAGGTAGTCAGTCAGTCAGGCAGTCAGTCAGTCAGTCAGTGAGTGAGTGAGCGAGCGAGGGAGCGAGTGACAGTTCGTTAGGCAGTAGTTAGGAAGCAGTTGGGTAGCAGTTTGGTAGCAGTTAGGTAGCTGTTAGGTAGTTATGTGAGTTGGGTGAGTTAGGTGAGTTAGGTGAGTTAGTGAGTGAGTGAGTGAGTGAGTGCGTGCGTGAGTGATTGCCTGCGTGCGTGAGTGCGTAAGTGCGTAAGTCAGTGAGGGAGTGAGCCAGAGAGCGAGTGAGGGAGGGAGCAACGGACCGAGGGAGTGAGGGAGAGTAGGGATCGGGTCTCCCTTTAGAAGGAAAGGGAAAGGTGGCCACTTGTTGCATGAAGACTCCGCCCAACTGGCAAGCGGGTTCAACTGGAAGTTGGGCGCTTCAAATGGGTTGTTCCAACACCAGTCCAGGTACGTGAAATCCATGTTTTCCCTTATTAAGCCCCCCGAGACCCTTTCGGAAATATAAGCCTGCAAAAGCGACATTATCTCCCCGGCCTGGTTCTGCGCGAGCCGGAGGTCATTGTTGCAACGGGGGATTCATCTGCCTGGCTTCATGAGTGCTCATTGGATCAGCCTCCAACATGGTTAGCAAGCCAAGTGAGTCTCCCTGTGCCCTCAATGGCTATGATCTTATGGGTGTGAAGTTCAATAGCGGACACCTTTGGTGGACATCATTTAGGCGACGATTTCATGTCCACCACCCACATTTCAGGCGGTTCCCAATTAAAAATTCATGGCCATATCAATCCTCCTGCGTTTGGGAGTGCGGCAGCTCCCTCTCAAAGCTGTTTGGGGAAATTGCGAAAAGACAGTCCTGTCCGCTAGTGGCAAGGTCTCTGTCTCCCATGTCCAGAGTAGTTTTCCAAATGGGAACACTTGAAAGCAGCTCTCCTCAGGCTAGGGCTTCTTCTGGAAACAATGCGTGATGTTCCTTTTCTGGAGTTTTTGTTGTGCTGGTTTCCCCCTTCATCATTCTACCAAGAGTGTTTCCTCGCGAAGGAGCAAACTCAATGACAACATGCTTCCAAGGCCCTTAGCCGGGGCACGCTGAAATTGATGAACTAGTTAAACAAATGCATTATTGGTTTCAAAACTTAGGTCTTTCAGTGACAGCGAGTTTAAAGTCTGGGTTTGAACCGTCACTTGAGACACCTGTACGGATTCTTGTGCGTGTTGCTTGCGTGCAGCTATGGATGTCTGTGCGGACATGTTCGGACTTTTGGCCAGTACAGGGATGCTGTCAAAGGTAAGACTTTGCAGTAGAGCTGGCTTGGTCTACTGCAGGAACAAATCCAAAGGCCCTAAACCCTATCCCGTTCTCTGTTCTTGGAAGGATTCTAAAATGTGTGTGTGTGTTTGTGTCCCCAAAAAAAAAAACAAAAAGGGCTTGAACACGCGGATGCTCTCAAGGGCAACCAAACAGGTAAGCTGAACGTAAACGCGAAAAAGGATACTAACACAAAAACACCCGCAGCTCGACCTCCTGATTCTCCGGTGCCGGTGCTGGCACGGGCGCCAGCTCCGAGGATACAAAGGCACTTGTGTCCTGATAGGCCGAGTGTGTACGCGCCAATGGGCACGTGCTGAAATTGGGGGACACCGCCATTAGATGATGTTCCGTTCGGCTTCCCACCCTCAAACACTCGATCTGTCTGCACATGTTATAATCCCAGGATCTGAGTCAACGGATCTCCCAATAAAGGACCTACATCATTGATAGAGAGCTCTCTTTACCTCGAACGGTGAGCTCATAATAATCCAAATATGTCAACGTTTTGGTATGCAAAAATAATTAACATGTGCTGATTGACTAGCCAGCAAAGGGGGTCAATTGTATGCACCTAAGTTCCACAACCCAAGGTTGCTTCAAAGGTTGCATCTGGTCGAATGTACCAAGCTTGAACCTCTGGTGTGCGGCCTTGATGGCTTGATTGACTGTCCAAAGCATGGGTCAAAATGGCTAAGTCAACAATGACTATTGAAATGGCTTGTGCGACGGCTTGACTCTGGCGACAGGCTTCTGAAGGCTATCTATGACAAGGTCACCGCATTCAAAGCAGCTAGTGCAGCGGAGTCGATTTCAACCAACCGTCAGTGGCGAATGTCAACCGCACAAAAACCAAGCTCAAACATTTGCTAAAGGAACCAAACACAGCTATCAGTGGCTGAAACAAGAACAAGTTACTGGAGGGGAACACCCCCCCAAGTCTCTGTGTGGTCAAGGTATCAGCGTTTTGGCAGCCTACTTGTTTTCTGGGCCTTGGCTCAAGGAGCCAGCTAGCCACGTAGCCAGCCCAACCACAGCCGTTCGTCGTAGCCTTAGACAACTCGGTATCCATCAAGCGCGTGTGAGCTTCGAGCACTCAGTGACGAACAGATGCACAACCGCCAGGCAAAGAAGGAATCAAGCATGTTCCATACCGCTGGGGATATTTGTGCCTTGCGTACTTCGTCTCTGGAGTGGGGAATCTGGGAAAGGACACCCCCCCTTATTGGGGTTCTTCCTCTTAATCTGCAAAGAGCATGGCACATGATACAGTATGTTTTTGGAGGGCACCCATTTTGGGGCTGTTTCAAAGGGAAAGCAAAAAGTTGCCATCCTGTTTGACATGGGGTTCGGTCTTGGGTGTCTAGCATTGCTTCCTTCACTCAACGGCCGCTTGTAGACGATAGAAGGCCAAAAGTACTATTACGGAAGCTACCACTTTTGGGAGACCGAAGAGTGGAAGGAGGAACTTGATAAACCCTCGTCAGAACATGGCACATGGTCCAACGTGTCACATTGGTGGGTAAAGTCCGACTGCACGCCCCCGCCAAAGGCGGAGCCACTCACTCCTGGCTGAGCTCACCCGCCAAGGCGAAAGGTCTCTGGTCAGAGTCCTTGCGCCACGTCAAAACTTAGGATGTGGCACTCGTCAGTGCCATCTAACACTTCAACGTGGAAATTATCCAACGCCTCTTTAGAACTGCGAACCGGTCTGGCCGCAGACCTAGCATGCTCCAATTCAGGCCGGGGCTGGCCATGTTGAATTCTGCGCGAGCCATCGCACCATCCCCAAATTGCCGTGATGACTGATCACCCCACAATACGATGCAAGGGGATTCTCCATCACGCTTCCCCCAATGCGAGCCACCCTCCCAGAATGGGAACAGGCCTCCTGTAGGCCCTTGGGCCGGAGGCGACTGATTGCAACATGATGGAAACTGTAGACAGGGACCTGAAATTGCCAGAGTCGTGCATCCTGCACGCAGAAACAATGAGCTCTGCTCAGACTCCACCCACACATTGGCAAGTGAAGCTGACCCAGGGGCCAAGGAAGGTATATGACCCTTGCCTATCCATCATAAAGCGGATAAGCCCTTGAAGTAATGCATGGTTCATTGCAGTGCTCTTGTCTTTTTGAGGGTCCCCTTTTTGGGTGCTTGAAAGGGAAGCCAAAGTTCAAAGGGAAACCACTGGGGCTTCCGCAACGTGCTCCGAACGCATTGGGCCTCCAGAACTGCGTAACCCCCTGGCCTGCAGGGAAGGTAGGGAGTCACTCATCACACTCGAGCTGGAACGCATTCGGGCTGATTTCAGCGCCTTCTGGAGCTTTTCCACCTGGCAGAGGCATGGTTGTGGGAAAATAACCCTCGTGATGCCAAAGTGGGCCATCCTTATGATTCCCTCGTCACTTTAAGGGATGCTTCCTTTCGCATCACAAAACGTAGGCCTAAAACCCCACACGTTCCCTCCAGATTTACCCAAACAATCATGGGGGATGCCCATAACATGGATGAATGTTCCAGAAATAGAACCCTCCAGAGTAGTACGTTCCTCCGGATAGTACGGTTTTCTGATGTTTTCCGGATGAATGTGAGGTGCCAAACTGTTAACACCAGGATCTATTGGCAGACAGTGTCGAACAAAGCCCTTCTGCGCATTCCTTCGCCCCACTGAACCAGCGGATAAGAAGGAAGTGGATCATCTTTTGCTAGCTGGGGGAAGGAGGCTTAAATCGCATTCTCCAAATGATGGTCCGTTTGCGCGGTTTTGCAGGGAACACAGCCCTCCTCTTGGGCGTCCATGTTCAAACAACACCATGCCCTTTGACTCCCTGCCTTGACCTGCAGGCTGTTTACCTGGCTCTGGTGCGCCACGGCCAAGCGCTGCATGAGCCTGAGGAGTCCATGGCCCCGCCGCGCGTGTCCCGCAACCGGGCTGCTTAAAGAACATATCCACAAACCACTGGTTTCATGAGGGGATCCTTCTAAATCAGCTGGTTGACATGATAGCATATATTATTTAAGGGACCCTGTCAAATGAATTGAGAATGTTTTTACCGGCCGCTTACTTTAGGAAGCAAGCCAGGCAACATGGAAAACAATGCGGAGGAAGGTTGCGACCGTCTGGCATGCTGTTGAGGCTTCCTGGAACGTTGGCCGCAGGAAAAGCAGGATGTTTGACCCATAAGCCGTGTCTGCGTGGCCGTGAACGGCAAACAACTTACCTGCGCGACGCCGTTGCAGTATTTTTCAATTAGGTGACAGTTCGCATATGTATATGTATTTGTATTTATTTATTCCCCAAGCAGCGAAGCATTCGGGTTCTAACTTGAGGTATAGAGAATGGGAAAGTGTGACGCCGATTCCGGGGTCCTGTTTTCTGCTTGTCTTCCTGTCTCCCAGTCTCTCTGGTCAGATGCCAGATGCTGTGACGCCGGCTCCAGGGTTGTGTCTCCCGCTTGTGCCCCTGTGTCTCCCAGTCTCTGCGGTCAGATGCTAGATGTCGTGTCTCCCGCTTGTCTCCCTGTGTCTCCCCCAGTCTCTGCGGTCAGATGTCGTGTCTCCCGCTTGTCTCCCTGTCTCCCATTCTCTCATTCAAAGGCCAGATGCTGTGACGCTGGCTGCGCTTGTCTCCCTGTGTCTCTCAAGCCGGTCAGATGCCAGATGCTGTGACGCTGGCTGCCGGGTCGTGTCTCCCGCTTGTCTCCCTGTGTCTCCCAGTCTCCGCGGTCAGACGCCAGATGCTGTGACGCTGGCTCCGGGTCGTGCCTCCTGTCTCCCAGTCTCTGCGGTTGGCTGTTTGTTGAATGCTTACAGCCCTCAACAGGGTCCGGAAAAATGAAGGTACCGGGCAAAACCAACTGAACCTGTTTCTTCTTACCCAGTTTTGAGCCTGGCTTGCTTGGCATCCAGTAACCGGCGTTCGGCTCCCTTCGGCTCCCTTCGGCTCACGTGGCATAGAAACATAGATTCGACAAGTCAGCAGGAACCACTTGTAACAATGCTTCACAACGGGGAAAGGGCATGTCGCAGATTTTGCTGTTAGCCTGTGTGCAAAGGATGTGCCTCTCTCTTGGCCCAGCGCAGGTTTGCATCCTTGTGGAGCATCGTTGGAGCTAGAAGCCAGCAATTTCGAGCCTTATTTTTTCTCGATAAACAAACAAATCGTGACATCCGGCTGATTGCTAGGAAACTGAGCTCCTTTTTAGAAGCCAGTGCCGCACTTCTTGGTCAAGTGCAGGTTTGCATCCTTGTGGCGCACCAGCAGGGCCCTTATGTTTCTCGATAAAAAACAAATATATAGTGTCATCCGGCTGATTGCTTTTTGGAAGCAGTGCCGCACTTCTTGGCCAAGTGCAGGTTTGCATCCTTGTGGTGCATCAGCAGAGCCCTGCCGAGCCTTAAAAATGTAGACTGGTTTCGATAGACAAATACGGCGAACACAGAGCTGCTTTTTGGAAGCCAGTGCCGCACTTCTTGGCCAAGTGCAAGTTTGCATCCTTGTGGCGCATGCTGAGCTCGAGCCTTAAATGCTTGGTCAAGTGCAGGTTTGCATCCTTGTGGCGCATCAGCTGAACAAATACCGTGGCATCCGGCTGATACTGAGCTGCTTTGTGGAAGCCAGCGCCGCACTTCTTGGTCAAGCGCAGGTTTGCATCCTTGTGGCGCATCAGCAGGGCCCCTGTGTCCATTTTCTTGATAACCAAATATACATGCGCCTGATTGCTTTGCTCAGGATTCTGAGCTGCTTTTTGGAAGCCAGTGCCCCACTTCTTGGCCAAGTGCAAGTTTGCATCGTTGTGTGGCGCATCAGCAGGGATCTGTCAAGCCTTAAAACATGTACTCTTGTTCTCTATAAACAAACGAGACATCCGCCTGATTGCTTTGCCCAGGATTCTGAGCTGCTTTTTGAATTCACTTCTTAGCCAAGTGCAGGTTTGCATCCTTGTGCGCATCAGCAGAGCTGTCGAGCCTTAAATCTGTATATTGTTCTCGGTAAACAAATATACCTACCTGATTGCTTTGCTCAGGCTTCTGAGCTGCTTTTTTGGAAGCCAATGCCGCACTTCTTAGTCAAGTGCAGGTTTCTGGCGCATCAGCAGAGCCCTGTCGAGCCTTCCAACAAGAAAGGGTGCTCGAACTTCAGTGATGCTACCAAGGGGAGACTAGAAGACGGGTGGCCCGAAAGCATGAGCAGCGCGCGGCGCCAAGTAATCCTAGCAAGTTGTCTGCGCAAGTTCCTCTGAGCAAGTTGTTGGCCCGATTTTTTTTGATTAAGTTCTCCAGGCAAGTTCTTGGCACAAATTATCTGAGCAAGTTCTCTCAGCAACTTGAATCCTGAGCAAAGCAATCAGGCGGATGTCACGGTATTTGTTTATCGAGAACAACAGTACATATTTAAGGCTCGGCAGGGCTCTGCTGATGCGCCAGAATGCAATCCTGCACCTGACCAACAAGTGCGGCGCTTCCAAAAAGCAGCTCAGAATCCTGAGAAAAGTATTTGTTTCTCGAGAACGAAATGGACACATGTACCGCGACGCTTTTTCCTCACCTATGCAATCCAGTCCCACTGACAAACGAAACGCATTTTGCTGAAGCATTTCACACCTGGCAGGGTCGCAGCTTTGACATATCTCGTTGCCTCCTGACAGAAGGTTTGAAGACAGATTTCTCAGCCTTGTTTCCACATATTCCGCAATATGGAGGCTGCTGTTTTGCACGTGTCTGAAAGTGCCAGGACTTGCAAGTGCCAGGGCTCAAGGGTTTTCATGGCGGGACGTCGTAAGGTGCCATCCTCTGAGGCGCTAGCTTCCCTACAGTCTCTGGACCCATGGAACACCAAAGCGGTCAACGTGAGCCGTATTGCATGGCGCTTGTGCTAGCCTCCGCAGTGGGTATTTTTGGAAATCCGAGCAATTCCATTTCATGCTCGCAATCAATTTCTTTTCCGAGACCTCGACTTGAATTTGGCAGCTCCGGGCGAGATTCTGATCTAGTTGCTCGCAGCATACGTGGCTTGTCGGGCAACCAAGCTGGAGGGATGTGAAGGCCAACACGTGCTACAGACATGGCCCATCTATTTCTTCTTTGACGACACAGCTTCGCCTCCACTACGCCTTGAACATCGATTCCGAGCGTGGCGAACTCCCCAGCAACATTACGGAATGGCGGCTCTGGTGCTCAATGTGGTGATTGCAACAAGGAGACACGGTCATGGCCATGTTTCGACATGTTCGGTGGCTCTTTAATCTAATAAGAGTTTCTAACGCCGCCGCCGTGTTTCATTCTTTCTTTTTGGGGTCCCATCAACAAGAGCCGTTTCGCCAATCGCAGAGTGGCTTGGTGGTTTCCTGGTTACTTGCTCTTGGAGATCTGCTGCTATCGCAGAAAACGACGAGCGAACACACAGTCAAGCAGGCGTGCTTATCATCTTGCTGCATCGTAAGGGGGGGGGCCCGCTCCAAGGTTTTTCTGAACGGTTTGAAGAAAGAATTGTCCTGGAAGTATAGGCTGGGTGAGTCGGGCGTAAAAGTTGTTTGCATCGTAACTGCACTTGTCGAGTTCTCCTCGAAAAACTTGGTTGATGCATAGGAGCTCCTGACAACTTGGAAAGAGTTCACGAGCCCGGCCAGTTGATTACAGTGCTGCTGGAGCTGAGTGAACGCAAGGCCCAGAAGTTGTTGCCAGCCGTTGCCAGCGGCGTGCGTTGGAATGACGGCCGCCGGTCGTTCACCACACATGTGAACACCAATCTGCGAACCATAAGCCGCCTCAAACACTGAGGATTTTCTGGAGCTGTGCCGGGTGACAGAGGTGCGTGCCAAGCGGGCACCTTTGCTGACGCTTGCCAATTTGGCGCGGCGTGTGTCTGCGTTGCTAGGCGAGGATGTCCCGGCCGTAACGCTACAAGGCGCAGTCTGCAAGTTTATGCAAGTGCTCTCTTGCTTTGCTTGTGGCAAGACCTTTAGCCGAGCTCGAAGAAGATAGCAACCAGAAGTGGCATGCGTGCAGTCTCGGCCGCAGGCTGCTGAGACTGATGCGCAAATTTCAGCAGAGTAGCGAGACGGCCACCAAATGCTGCGGTGATGGAAAAGCGCATAATTGAGTGTCCGTACTACGAAAGGTCGAAGCTTCCTTTGATTATTGCCAGGTGTTAGGTTGATTCACCCCGAATCCCCGGGGCCTTCACTCTCGAACATGGCATTGACATGGAATTTTCTCTCCGAAGGATGGATCCGATGTGGGGACTTCCTGCATGCAGGGACACACATGGACTGATTGTAGCTACGTGTTGCTCACATAAGCTACTCAAGTTCGCACCTTACATAAAGGGGACAAGCCTTGTTTTTTTGGGGGGTTATGCAGACTTGTCATGCATTTTTGCTGTTTGGGGTCGAGGCTGGTGTAATTTATTTATTTATTTATTTATTTATTGTATGTATGTATGCATGCATGCATGCATGCATGCATGCATGTATGTATGTATGTATGTTTGTGTGTGTGTGTGTGCGTGCGTGCATGTAACAAACAGCGTATGTATGCGTACATAAAAGGCATAGCCTCCTTCTTCAAGGCTTCGGTTAGGCAAAAACTGTCTTTAAGATTTAATTTTAAGTTGAGTCTTAAATACTCAAGGTAAAAAATGTTCAAGGAAAGCAAACAAGACAAACATGCTAAAACAAGGCACAAATTAACTTGGGAAACAACAGCAGCGTGAACGTTTCTCGCTCGCTGATACGTCAGCGCGCACATGCAAGCGCGGCTGCCTTGTTTGCATTGCGGTTGTGTCTTTGGACACTCGGCTTTGCTTACGTGACGTCAGCGCGGATTCGTTCAAGGCTGCGCGCAGAACCTCAACTCAAGCTGCCGGCTGGGATCGTGCAGTTCAGCAAGTGGCAATGGTCTGGCGGAAAGCTCGGCTCAGGAGACAGACCTTTTTTCGAGTCCCTCGTGTTCGCCTCCGGGATGGGAGTTGTGCTGTCCTGTCTCAGTGTTCCATGAGATGGGCTGTTTTTGCGGTGGCTGATTTGCCCGAAGTCGTGCCAGAAGCTCGGTGGGTGCATATGATTGCGTCGCTGGGTATTCTGTGCCAGGAATGCTCGTATATATATATATATAGTATTGGCCTTTCTCACTTTTAAGACCATTCCTTAAAACAAGTCTTAACATCAGTCTTTGTGTTGCCCGACACAGGTTGACTGTGGCCCCGGAATCAAGACTTAATCTTAAATTGGGTCTGATCGTTAAAACGTACCGTTTTTGTCTTGTCGGAGCCTTGGGGTTGAATGGACCAAGAACAGGGGGTAGCATGGCTTTGCTTCAGTGTTTCAGTCTCAGGTGCTGGTCGAAATCCTCCCGGGTGCGGTACGAGGCCATGGCAGGCGAGCGGAGTTCCAAGAAGCCCCTGGAGGCTTCCCTGGAGCCTTTTTACGTAAGGCCGCAAGGGGAGCTGGGCGGGGTAGAGGCTGGGGGAGGACGGAAAAAAAGCACAAGCGTTGACATGGGAATTGCCTCTGGATGCGGCGGTTCCTTTTGGATTCCCTTCAAACCAACCGCACAAAAAAGATCCATCAAAAAAGACACCCCCACATGACAGGGAGGGGTACCTATCTGGCTTCAACAGAATGGCCGTGGCCAACCAAAACAGCAAGACCTACACGACAAATCTGCTAATGTTGGGCATGTGTGCTGCCAAGTTGGCATTATTAGTCAAGCTGCAAAGCCTCTATGCATTGTCTTGCTATCACTTGCCCCGTCTGCTTGAGCTGGATGCCAGCGTGGTGCCGCAAGCTTGCCCCGCAAGTGGACATGGGCCTCACTTTGAAACCCTGCCGTCATTTTGTGCTGGCTTTCAAGAAGGTCCTCAACATGGGCAACACAAATACATAAGGTCAACACCAAAATGGTCACACGTAGCTCTCAAGTACCAACCAGGATTTACATGTGCTACTTCATTCAGCTGCCCAAGCATTGGCAGCACCTGCAAACTCGCACATTCTCCAAAAGCAGTGTGGGGTTTCACAACCAGTGCGGTCAGGCCGTAAATGGGCTTCACATGACTGTACAAGACTGGCAGGGTATCACAGTTCCGGTAGCCAGTGGCATTGAGTGCCACTAGCGCATGGTCGCGCAAAGCTGATTGCTTCGGTTGGACCCACTTGTGGAAAACACACAATCGTGATACATATCTCATGATGTGTGTGTGTGTGTGTCTGTGTGTCTGTGTGAATGTGCTGCAAGCGGGGACCCTTTGGTGGACACCAGTTGCAATATTCCACGGAAATTAAACAACATGCAGCTGCACAGCTCCGTGCTGCAAGAGAGTACAAATCGCTTCTAGATTGATCCAAGGCTCTGCCACAGGACAAAGGCTTCCGCGCCTGGCAGGACAACTCACACACACACGAACACACACACACACACAAACAAATGCAAATACCCGTGATACACATGCCGGGCACCTTGCCTATCCAAGGGTTTGAGCCAAATTGTTTGATTTGGCCATTCATTGAATAGGTCTTCACAGTACCTCGCTATTTGTTCATCCGTGAGGTCGCTGCAGCTAAGGTACGCTGGATGCACGCCCTCACAGCAAGATCTGCAAGATGTACAGGGCCCGGGGAGCTAGCAGGCGCAGTCAGGCGCAGTCAGGCGATTCATACAAAATATTGAGGTGGTGGCTTGGGGTGCAATGAGGCTTCAAATTTGCGGTTTACCACGTTTCACCGATTCCAAGGTACCGCTGACCCCCAGTCGGGACGCGCACATCTGCAGAGAACCTCGTCAACGTCCACAGCCAGAATCCTGAAATGTTGTTCTTCAACGTGCAAAGGGGCCTTCCCTGAACCTCACTCCACCTGCCTGTGCCGGATGCGTGAATGGCAAAGCTGCCTGACGCGCTTTGTGCAATCTCCCAGTCCTTTTCTCTCCTGGCCTTAGCTTGCAGTGGAAACTTGCTCAATCCAGATTGCATGCGAATGGCTTTGCGGATCTTTGCGGGATTCAAATCCGCTTGGGGAGGCGTGTCCTTTTGTCACTATTTTGGCGGGCATCGGTGGAACAACAAAGGACAACAAACAAACAAACTATTGCACGGCTACTGACATAATACACACAGCTAGCACCAAGACAAACGAGCAGTGCCCCTGTCGCATGCTCACGAGTCATTTGACTTTGCCATTCTTGTCCACAAAACGGCCGGTTTGTGCATATCTGCATTCATCACTGTCTGAAGGCTAAGCCAGTTGACCACATGGCTGTGGAGATGTCTGTTCTGTGCCATGTTTATCGCTGCAGGATTTGGGTACCGCTCCTTTTTGTGGCTCGCAGCTGTACCCAGAGATGTGCCTGTAGCCTAAATCTCTTGGCACTGCAGTCAATCCACCCTCCATCCAACAGTTGTGAAGAAAAGAAGAAGTAGCTCATGACAACCTGCTGATGACTCACTGATAATCACAAACTTATTTCTGATCTGATGATTCCGCATACGCGTGCCACTGTTGGAGGGAGAGTTTCACTCTTTTGAGCTCATGTCCAGCGATTCTGGCACATGAGGACTTGCACCTTCTCCTGGCAAAAACAGGCAGGCAGAATCACACGAGGCTTGGCTTAGCCAAGGTCACCTGTTGTTCCTATGTCGCGAATAATGGATATATATGACATAAGTCTAATTCATTTGTCACTTCATTGATAAATTAGCGAGCCAAAGAATGCAGCCAATCTGAGTGTCCAAAAGAAAATCGTGCTCCCCCGCGAGATTGAAACTGTTCAAGCGCATGCATAAGCCGTGCAGCTGGGCTTTATATTGGCTGCAATGCCTGAATGAACTCCGCCGAGCAACTCTGCGCCCAAGCGAAAATGCTCAGAAAACCGGGGCAACCTGACATCCACAATACGATTGAATTATGATCGTGATCAAATCGCCTACCTGAGAAATAAGTCTGACTATGAACCCAATGAAGCTAATGAAGCTAGGGAGTAAACTCTATCAGTCTATGCTCTGTAGAGGCCTTCAGATGCACAATTTTGGGGGTCCCTTCTTTGTCCGCTCAAGGCAAACCCTGGAACTTGCCCCGACAGCGACCAGAGTAGAAGTAGATGCTAGGATGGCATAATTCCCATTGGGCAAAAAGATAACTAGACTCAACTAGGTCCTCCAGTAGAGTCGAGAGGTTAGAATAAGGGTACCCTTTTTGTCCGTAGTCTATTTTAGTAGGGGAACCCTCCCCCCAAAAAGAAACGGTAAAAGGGCACTACTGGGGGACCTAGTCAAATGAGGGAATTGTGCCACCTACGGTCAGCAACTGCAGCCCCCACCTTCATGTAAGCCATTGGTGCTGAAGCACCTGCTCTGCCGTGAGGCGTTTCCTGGGCTCCTGACGGAATCGGCAGGGGCACGGGAATCTCACCGAAATGTTGGGTTCTTTGCTGGTTCCAGCAGACACCTTTGAATCAACATGAGGGTTCAAGGTCTTGGTTGAAGAAGATTCTAGGTAGCAAACTTCCAAGCCTGAATGATAGGTTTTAAGAAAAGGAACTCGTGGGGGGGCCCTTCACCGTGAGTACGGCTCCTGCTGCATGAGTGACTTCACGAGGTTTTTTGCCTCCTGGCCGGCAACAATGAGGCAAGTTGGCGACTGTTGGCATGGACGATTCACCACGTGGGAATAAACACAACTGAACACGTCCCCCTTGAAAGGAAAGAAACTATCATGGGAATGTGCGCGCTCTTTAACCAAAAATAGCAGAAGCATACCACACGTCAGCAAACGCCTCCGAGATGAGCTTCCAGATCTCGCCCGCGAAGCTCCACAAACCTCCCAGCAAAACAGGTCTAAAGCGGCAGGGATGTCAATCCACGCATCTGGCGCCCTGCAAATACACCAACACACACCTCATGTGGGCTAGCACATGGGCTTGTCTCAAAGCTTGCTGCGGTGGTGGTTTTGAAGGGAGACAAAGAAGCGACTCCACCTGCAAAGCTCCCGGGTTTGAACAAATACGACTTCAACTCAACGGTCAAGCGCCGTAAAGTAGCCCAACTTGATCAAGGGACTGCAGCAAAGAAGGATCTGCGATCCTAGGTGTTATTTACAAAAATAGATGGCACAAGTCGATGCTTTGAACCGAAATCAATTCCTACGGCTGTGGTTGTGCCACCCTGGAAGCGAATCAGAAAGAAAACAGCTTGCAGCGCCAAGCAAACAAACAGTCCCTACTTGACAGGGCAACCAGCCCTGACGAAGCGAGAGTCCAACCCAGCCATCCCGCCACGTCCCACCAACATGTGGTACAGCAAACTGCAAATGGATGAAATGGCACAATTCGCTCTGCAAACATTTGAGCAAATCTCCTGTCCAACCCGTTGCAGGCTGATTCGTACTTGCCCACACTCCAAGTGGGTGTCGCGTGCACCCCACTTTTGAGCTCAATCTGACCACCCTCCCGGAAAATGCAGAACCTCAAGCAAATCAAAAACCAAACATCAAGCAACATGCCAATTACCCTCTGCGCTCAAAGCTGGCCCAACCCGCTACTGGCTCTTTTCTGCGCGCTTCGTCTTCGCGAAGCTCCGGGCCAACGGTTGACCCATGTCTCTTGCCCTAGCTTTGCGTGTGCGTGTGGGTAACTGTACCACCTGTCTCCACATCTGGTGTGGTGCCACAACAGCACGAGCAATAGCGCAGGCCTAGCATAAGCAGCCCTAGGACACACAAAAAGCCTCCTAGGATAATGTACACAAACTTCCAAAACTCCGAGGTTGGAAGCAAGAAAAGTGATATTGATCCTACATAGAAATAGAAGAGAGCGCGCCCAGTGTAGGTCGCCAGGAAGTTGCCGTACACAAAAAGCTTAGTCTGTAACCCGAAATACTTGTTGGCCCAGTCCTCCTTCATGTCGATCAAGATGAGAACCTGCATGGTTCACTGTGTTATGTCCCTGTTGATTGCCGCTCACCTGCGGCACCCCTACATTGGGATTGGGAATTGGCAGCTATAAACCGGCTAGGAAAAGAAGTGACGAATTTCGTCACGGCTCGAAGCCAAAGACGAAGGTGTACACGGTCTGCAAGGTATCCCTGGCTGACCACTTTTCCGCATCGCTCATCTGTGCCACTCCCACGATGCTCAGGATGCTAATCACCGACAAAGCTAAGCCAACTGCGCAGCAAAGCATTTTCACGATCGTTGGATTGTGCTGCACATAGATGGTGAGGTTCACCACTCCTCGGTTCGGCGGTGAGTCACACCCAGAGATCTTAGCGTGACACCCCTGGCCATTGCGCTACTTCCAACCATCAACTCATTGAACACTCGAGTTGGAGGATGGCCACCCTGCAAGAGGTGCCCCGCTCCAGACCCTAGGGGTACAGTAATCCCAAAAATACTCAGCCAGAACTGTGTCCAAATTAGTCACAACACAATTTTGAGAATAAAAGCTCAAACGGAAATTGTATCGCATATGTAGAAAATAGACTAAGTTTAAGTTCGCATGTGTTACAACAGGTTTTGAGATGTTAGCATGTAACTCTAACAGATTGAACATTGTCAAACCAGCTAGCCTCCTTATTCTACAACGACTTGGTGGTAAGTTTAATCTAAGGTCACACACCCAAAGAGATCAGCGCAGGCAGAAACCTCCCATTTTTCAGCTCCACGAAAAAGCCGTGCTGTGCCTTTGGTCCGGGCCGCCCCGCTGCGCGATCTGCGCACCTTTCTGCGCCCCGTGCAGCGCCGCCTGGCCCACCTGCGCCGCCGCAGAGGGGCTGCCGCCGCCCGCGGGCGCGCCCGACATGGCGAAGCAAAAGAGCGCCTTGAAGCCGAGAGCTCGTCGCTGCGCGAAAAAAACAAAAGAAGGGCGAGTGCCAAAGGCGAGTGCGAGTGCGCGAGGTCAGTGTGGAGGCATGAGGTGCAGAGGAGCGAGACTAAAAGAATGGGTTCGTAAGTGAGATGTGTCAGTGTTGCTCTCTCCCTCTCTCTCTAGGGCTATCCTGCAGGTCCAATAGTTGGGAGCACAATTGGCCGAAGAAACTCAGACACAGCCAGCGATGATACACCAGCATGTACTGACAAAAGGAAAGAGCTTGCAACTGGACACCAAGTGTTCCAGCTTCAGTGTTTGTATGACATGCTGTGTGTGTGTGTGTCTGTCTGTGTCTGTGTTTGAGCACTGTTTACCGTGTAACACTGAGGTGTTCATCCCCCTCCCGTGCCAGCCTCGGATGATTTCCAGATCCACCTTGCTGTGGCTATCAAATGCGCGCCTCAGCTTGTTGCACCGACACTTCACTCGCTGAGGCACCCCCAAGCAGTTGCTGCGGGCATGAAGGTTGTTACGTCTTTCTGCGGAACATTTGGCTTCATTGATTTGAGACCAAGTTGAGTCTATGACTGAAACCGCAATCCGGTGCTCTGCAAATGTTTCCGGATCAACCTGGCAAAGAGTCATGGTAAAAGAAAGTGAACATTGCACGAGAACTCGGCCTGACGCACATAGTCAGCTCAACAATAAACGCACGCACGGGTCATGAGGATGCAAGCATGAATGGCATTTGCTGCCTCGGCGTCAAGCGCGCTAGACGAGCAAGGGAGGCAAAGAACTGACTTCAATTGTGTGGCTCCCGTTTGTAACTGTTGTTCACCGCGAGTGCTGAATATCAGCATGTGAATCCTAACAGTGCCATACTCACGCATTCCGCATTCCCTGCCCCAATGGGTTGCAGTCGGCAGTGGCCTAGGTAGCAGGCTTCTGCTGATTCGATTTGCTGCTCCCAGAGCAAAAACTGGGGCTTCAGACCAAGGACTATTGTCACTTTGTGCACCTGGGTGTTAAGCGTTGAAGGAGGTAAAGCGGCTGCCTCTTTCCACGAGCTATCACGTGCTCGAGCTGCAGAATCACTAGATAGCAGCAGCAGCAGCAGCAGCAGCAGCAGCAGCAGCAGCAGCAGCAGCAGCAGCAGCAGCAGCAGCAGCAGCAGCCAACACCCGAGAAAACCGCAAGTACAAACTTGTCCATGTGTGTAAAGTTCTTGAATGCGGTGCCTTGGCGCATCTTGCTATCCTGACCAGCACCTGGTTGCTTGCCCAAGGCGCTCTCCACTCAGCATGACGTAGAGAACGACTCCTCGCCGGAGTCAGCGAAGGCTCAAAGTGAGGTTTAACAAATCGAGGGGGTAGCTTCCCTGATGCCGGGGTATTTCCAGTAAGCCGGGGGAAAACAGCTGGCATTGAAACCAGCGATGGAATTTGGCCTGAGCATAAAATGTGCACTCGACCTCTAGAGCAATACCTCCCGCCCAAATTTGCGCGGCAAGCAATCCAATGTTGCACCTCGTTGTCAAACAAGCAGCATGCACCCAAGAGAGTTGACCGCCACAAACTCAATTGCAAACTTCAAGAATATAATGTGCAACCTGACATGATCAATACATTCTTTGCAATGGCAGACGTAGTGCTAAACACCCGGAATCAGGCTAATCAGGTGTCCATTGCCCTCAACTGCTCTTGTGCACTTTAAAGGGCTGTTCAAAATGTGTATGTTGGCGTGTTCCCTCCTTCAGACAAACTTCTGACAACTCCTGAAACGTGATTGAGGAACAAGCGACGAGCATTGAAGCAAAAGCCGCCTTTCTGGAAAGAGCACAAGCGGTATGCTGCACGTCTGGCTGGTCCCATCATTTCACTATTCTCGAAGTCAGCTGCTGTATGGCGGGTTCCCCAAACTTCCGACTGTTATCCTTATCCCCTATAAAGACTCAACCACGTTCTGAGCTGCCTGTATTTGACGTGGAGCAATGCAGCCTCGAGACCTCTGATTCAGTCTTGCGCAATGACTTGCTTCAGGGGCTGCGCTGACTGGAAATCGTTAGCTGCAAATACCAGCGGGAACGATTTTGCATTTGGCAGCGCTCCAAGGATCTGTCATGACAGGACACCAGAAAACAAGTCTGGAACAAGATTTGAAAGCTATGAGTAGCCCCTTCCCTGTGCCAGGATAACCACGCCGGCCCAACAGAAGCTCCTAGGCTCCACATGTCGGCTGGTTTGCCGTAGCCAGCGCCTCAGCTGGCTCCGGCAAATCTCAACTGTTGGACGCTGGAAGCTGAGCACTTGAAAACTTGACACCCAAGCCGGCTCAATGAATTCTTTCTCTGACCAAAAGTAGTTCCTTTCACCATGGAATATGCGGTAGAGGAAAGTCATATTCCAGGTACCCTCCCACAAGGGTAGCCAGTGGGGCTTGCCATGTGTGCATTGCAAAAGCGACTTCGCCTTCACATGTCTACAGTAAGCCCGCCTTGCCTTACACAAGTGCTGCAACACGGCGGGTTTGTCTGAAAATGGCGAACCTCTTTTCCGGATGGTTCTAAAGGGAAAGCAAAAGTGACAGTAAAACCAACCAAGTAACAGGGAACCAACCAAGTAACAGGTGCCCCTATTTCAGGACATGTGCATGTACATAATGTATATGTGACAAATGTATACGTGTGTTCCCTGTTTTAGAGTCCCCCATTTCGCGCGCACCTGAGCTCCTGTATGTGTGTGTGTGTGTGCTTTGATCGTTTCAAGATGGCACGTGCCAATCTTGGTAGTGAAATATATAGGCAACCCTAGTCTCACGGTTGAGCAAACTATGGCAGGAAACAGCTAAACACCCTAGGTCCAGCCACAGCAGCTAAACACCCTTGGTCCAGCCACAGAAGCTAAGCACCCTACGTCCAGCCACATCACCATGACAGCAGGGTCTGATTCACCACCAACACTATCAGAACATTATCAGGATCAGCGTCATCCGGATGTCAGACGCGAGAAATTCAAGCAGTCCCGCATGTTTGGATAAGAGCAGACGTACGGGAACATAAGCAGCCAGGCACACCATGCTCTGCCAAGGCAATTGTCTGCATCAGCATCACGAGTGACACTGCTAGCTGCTTGGTGCTCCTGGTTTCTGTACATAAAAACTCCCCTGACAAGCCACACTCCTCCGCATCTGTCCTCCGCTTCCGGTTGCCCATGCCCATCCGAACAACCTGCCGCCAAGCGATGCGTTTTACGAGGTCTGAAGCCCTGGGAGTGCCGCAGTCAGCGCAAGTGGCTGGCCCTCCCCAACAGCCACCAAACAATTGCTAAGCTCAAACAACACACACACACACACAGCAAGCGAAGCTGCGGAACCCACACAACGCTCACCAAAAACCAAACCACTAACACACAAGCAAAAGCAAACATATACAAACACACACGCACACACACTCCCAAATACAACATCACAATGCACAACACACACACACGCACACTCACACACACACACAAACACACGCACACTCACACAAACACACGCACACTCACACACACACACACACAAACACACACACACACACAGACACACACACACACACACACACACACAGACACACACACGCACACACACACACACACACACACACACACACACACACACACACACCCACACCCACACCCACACCCACACCCACACCCACACCCACACCCACACCCACACCACACACACCACACACACCACACACACCACACACACCTGCGCACCTGCGCACACACACACAACAAACACACATACACACATACACCTCTGTCGCGGCCGCATGATCTCATATCAGCTTGAGCACGCAAGGGGCATGAATGTCTATTGGCGACCTTCTGAAGGACATCATTGACGTGAGGATGTCCACCGAGGGGTCCCCATAGATTCACAGGCAAATGGCAAGCGAATCTGATTCCCGGAAATGCAACTGCGCTGGCAAGGAGGGAAAGCAAAACCGAGGCTTCTCCGCCTTGGATCAGGCCATCTAACCACTTCACTTGCCGTGCCAGTCTTTTGTGCCTCCGGCGCACGGTAGTCCCGCGAACCCAGATAGGTCTGGCAGTCCTGGAATCTTGAATCGCCGCGTCAAGGCGCTGTCTTCCAAAAGCATCCAGGCACGTCCGGTTGTTTCGGTGGGTCCTGCCTATTCATATTTGTTGATGGAGGACCAGCCAAACAGCCGGAAACTATTCTGCACATTTCATGATTCTGCCATCGGGTTGCCAATGCCGAGGGAACAAACGCTTTCTGCACATTTCTCGGATCAAGGAGGGAGACAGACTAGTGATTCCTCCTTTGTCCAGCTTGTGACGGGAACCGCTAAATCCACTCAGCGCTGTAGATCATGATCCAGGCACATGGAAACCTTCAGTTGTCTGGCTTATGCAGTGCCTGAGCAGCAAAACTCAAAAAAGCAAGCGCATAAAAACATTGAAGCGCCTGAAGGCTGCCAGGCAAACAAAGCCAAGGAGACACGGGCTCAACGAAGAGCTTGGTGAGAACTTTAGAGATCCCAGCATGCAGCCCCTGATTCGAAAACGTCTGCTGCTACACAAATATTCATGCCAAACCGACATGACCTAGTACTTTTCTCAATGAGGCACATGAAATTAAAACGCAGATTGGATCAACCAAAAGGGACTTGGTGGCGACCCCCTCAAGAGCAGGTGAAATCAAAGGGGAACATTTAACGGAAGCCGTACTGCAAATGTGGATGAAGTGCGTGTCCACCATTTCACCCGGTGTTGCAAACACTCATCCGGAGAGTGAGACTGCCATATGGCGCGTCCAAAACTTTCTGCTGCTGCGCCGTAGTCCTGAGAGCCCATAGTGAGCCTGGAAATGCCAAAGTCCGTGATTTTCGCCTTGGTCGAATGAGCGCCTGAAAATTTAATAAGTAATAAGGATTCACCAGTTCTGGTGCTCAAGTAGTCGAGTACAAGCTGTTGGCTGGA